TGCCGCATCCGACTGGGCATTTCCTTTGTCATTTTGATAAGTCCATCAAGCGATTGGCGAAGTTTTCTCGGTTGGACACTGTTCCAAAGCACGTCCCTAAGTTCGTTCAAGCTTTTCCAGATCGTCGACAATGCTGCCCAGACTGACATAAAGTCCTGCACTTCTTCAAGAACAGCCACAAGAGCCGTTTCCGGGCTCCCGGGCAAGTCAAGGGCCTCCTTCGCCTTCGTGACCATTTCTGATTCAGAGCGGAGGTTTTCCAATCGGGATTGGAAGGAGCTTAGTGTTCTTGAAGCCTCCTCCGGCGGGATAGAGCCGGATACTGGCTTCTCCTCATTCCACTGGTTGATTATTTCGGCGATCTTGTTACTAATCACACGGTCCTCTGCAATGATCTTCGCCTGGAGAGCATCAGTCTGGTCTTGCACGATCTTGCTCTTTCGTTCAAGAAGCTCGCTGAGCGCGTTCCAGTCATCCCGAACTTGTTCAACATGTAACCAGTCGCTGGGGAAGTGGTAACGTTGTCGAGCCAAGGTTGCCTGACCCTGGAGGAAGAGTTCGACTTCCGGACCCCATACTCGCGCCTTTCGCTTGCACTGTTGAACGCTTGTGATGAACGACACGGCGTGTGCAGTTGACGACGCTTCCAGTGTCTGGCTTTCCAGGTCTCTCTTGGCAGTGACAATTTCATCATGGACTTCGCGCATTCGAGTAGCAAATTTCCCACCAAATTTGTGCAAGATTTCATGTTGCCATTGGTCATATCTCGCGTTGACCCTTGTCTGCACTTGCTCGTAATCGATTCTAACATTGCCGAAGGATTTGCCAACTTCAGAGGTATCGAATGTCGCGCGACTTTTACGGATTTCCTGTAGAAGTTGCAGCCATTGCGACAAGTCGTCACCCAGCACGTCATACACCTGGGATGCCTGAAGATCCCACAAGGATTGGAACTGAAGCCATTTGTCCACGTAGTCCGAGATGTCGTCTAGCCTGGCCCCAATTACAGTATACACTTCGACTAATTCACTAGTGCAGTATTGAGGGAGATTTGTGAAGTGGGTTTCGGATAGTCGAGCCTTCTCAGTCTCAATTGACATCTTGTATCGCGCCGACTTAATTTTTTCCAGGTTGCAAAGAACGCCAACCCACTGGTCGAAGTGTGCAAACCAGCTAGCTCTTGCGTATTCGAGAGGAGGATCCAGGCGAAGTACTTGATTTCTCATGGAAATCTCGTGGAAAAGCTTGGGGAACTCAATCGTGTATGTTTGCGTTTCGGCATCATTTGCTGTCTTCGAGATTGGAGCATACGGCCTCCGTTGGACACCGTTCTCGTCATATTTGATTTCTTGGAAGGCTATAATCCACTCTCTTATCGCCCGATGTAAGCGTTCTTGTAGAATGAGTTCGATTGTCTTGTTCATATTCGAAACCCAATAGCCGAGATTCACATAGTTCTCCAGATTCAGCTTATCAACAGAATTCTGGATTTCATCCAGTCGCTGGCGGAAGATGGACGCATCATAAGGGCAAGTCTTAAGGTCGGCAATAGCCTTCTGAATGCTCTCGTTAATTACAAACAGTGTTGACGTTTTCGACTGAAGGACAAAGGCAGAGGCAGCGAATTCGCGAACAAATTGGACATGTTTGCTTTCACTTCGACCCTGGGCCAGTGAGGGATCAACTGCCCCATTAGCCATCACTTGCTTGATGTGGAGCTCATAAGAATGAATAAATGACTCCCAGCGCAACGGAAGGCCCTTCATAATTAAAGCCTGGACATCATTTTTGTAACCGCTCAAAAGAATGGAGACCTCAGCCATAGACGAGATCGAACGCATTGTTTGTAAGACGGTTCGAACACTTTCAATTAAGCTAATTGCATATGGATATACTCGTTTCGCTTCTTTGGAGATCGTGTTGATAGCATGAGGAACTTGGTAATTGAGCCAGACAAGGTTTCTAACTTCCTTAAAAAGCACAATAATCTGCGGGTCGAAATTAACGTCAAGCTCAAGAGTATTTCCCGTGGCACGATTGCGGAAGATCTTAAACAGCCGGCCAGAAATCGTAATATTTCGTCGTTGAACATCCTGTAACCAGTTCTGGAATATAGGTCGCGTGTCAAGCTTCTTTCGGAACATGTTACTTTCAGCTTGGAGTTTCTGCCCTTCAGCATGCAAGTCCCAGTCTTCTCCTAGAACGTCTTCGACTTTCCTCATATAGCCATCGAGTTGCCGCTCAATCTGACGAGCCCAGACGATTGCACCGGATACCGGGGGCAGATCTCGCAGTTGCGCCATTGGGTGTGCTTGGGAATGGCCATACTGCTGCTTGAATCTCTCGTGCAGTCTTGCGATATCGTTCTTAACTAGTTCGATCAATTCAGATTGGTGTATACTAATAGCGCTTCGAATCTTGGGTCGAACGAGCAAGGCGTTGAATTTCGAAAAGACGCGGAACATCTCTGTGGCATTCTTCGCAGTTGCCAGGCGGTCCTTAAGTCGGGCAATTATCGAATTTTCCACTCTAGAAGTGCGTTCATTATACGAGGCTTCGGCCTGGATCCATATCTGAGTACCTTCTTCAGATACATCGAGAACGTCGACATCTTTCAAGGACGCATAAGCTTGAGAAACTTCATCCAGGGCATCGACATCGCCGATTTCCTCCACAACCACAGCTCCATCGGCATCAGCACCTGACGACATGCTGGCGTTGGGTCCAAGGACGTTCACGATAGTGCGCTGCAGTTGTTCGTGATTGTTGCGGAAGGTGTTGATGTACTTCAGTCGATCTTGAATAGCGCTGTGTCTTGGCTCAACTTTGATAGAGATGAATTTTTCGTTCCGCCGTCTTATGGCATCACGAGCAACATTCGTGAATTCTTTCACATTCTCATCCCAAGCGCGCCAGATAACCTGAGCTGACCGCATCAAAGCGCGGAATTCCTTAAATCCAAGGTGCATGATAGATCGTCCGTGTATCAGGGTGCGGATTTGGGTATCCAAATCTCCCGATATTGCCTCCACAAGCAACAGAGAACGCTTGATAGGATACGGGCAAATACGGAGTTTCTTGTTCAAATGGGAGAAAATGAGATTCAATGCATCGTGCACCTTCTGCAGGGAGGTGGCTGACAAGAGTTCATCGAGGGGGAAATCTCGCATGAGTTGATTGTATTTCTGAACCGTTTCAGCGGTTTCCTTCAATCCCGTATCTGCCGAAAAGCTAAGTGTTACATTAAACCGTTTTGCATGTCGCAGGATATCCATGGTAAGCTGCACCCCATCACTTCGTAGCTGGTCCTCGATCGCCTCCAGGGCCGTTTCCATTGATAACCAAAAATTGATTTCCTGGATTGCGGATCCCTTGATATCGTCTCTGGACATTTGAGTGGTAGTCTGGATTGATTTGATCCACCCATTCACAATGTTCTGAATGCTGTTAAGGACAATGGTATTTTCAAGCACAGATGCCGGTATGAGCTCAGTAGAAGGTTTAATACCTCGTGCTAGAGCCTCGTCCAGTGCTCCCTGGACAACTTCATGCAAGGGAAGATTCAGCACAGGAATTTCAATGTTCTCCTGTAACTGCAGCAGGCTTGATTTCAGCTCCGCAATCTTCTTCTTTGTCACAGGAACTCCCGTCTTTGCATCGCTATCGCCCCTTCCTTTCACACCGTTAACTGCTTCCTGGCCACTGGTATAGGCATCAAAATATGGTCCCAGAACATGGTTAACAAAGGTATGAAGTGTCTGAAGCGGAGAAACAGTAGTAGTGCCCTGACTCAGAGCCATGTGCATCGGCGACAGGAAGCCCGGAAGATTCGTGGCATGAACTTGGGCGGATATTGGGACATTTGGATCCAAAGGCTGAAGTTGCCTCGTAAAGGCCATCGATGAAACGGTTGTAGGGGTAAGGGATAACTCGAGGGTAAGAGTATAGATATACCTGGTTGGAGAAGCTGTTCAAACAAAAACATATCAGTGTCAGCTCTCTATTCAACTCATGCATCCCACATAGCATAATAAGAAGTAGATAAACATACGGGAACCCTCCTCCGTCCCATTTGTCTGTTCAGTTTCAACAGCATCTTTCTGGACATATAACGCAACCTGAGATTCGGATGCGAAACGAGAGCACCGTTGGATAGTCTCAGGGTACTTGGCCTTGGACAAGAAGCTTCCAGCGCTCTCCAAATCTGTTTTCAGCGCATCGAGCGTACTCTGCAGGGTCTCCGTTAAATATTGGACAACGGTAGCTGGATCAACAGATGGAGGTTGACTGGGCGGCGTTAGGCCGTTGGGCACCCCTGGAAGAATGACCTCCATACTGGAACATAAACAATAAGTATGTAGATTGGTGGATGGAATTCATGAGGGGATTTAGCGGAGGAAGAGCAGGCTCCAGAGCCTATTGCACATCGACCGATATGGGGTGGTCGTTTATTCGTGTTGTGGATAAGTTGTAGATGTGTACCACCGCTGATAGAGGGAAGTGGTTGCAGTGAGCCTGTAAATGAGCGCTGGCTGTAGGTAACCTTTTGGTTGCACGCGGCGTGTTCTTTGGTCACGGGACTGGGTGTCAGGGGCTAATACGCTAGTCCGCTCTAGGCTTAACTCGGTGCCTGCAGCCATTTCGCTGGAACCTTTCGGGCGTGCCTTGCGTATTCAGGCGATGGCGTCTGCAAGTGACTATGCTATGTATGTACGCTGTACGCTGCAACTCCCACATTTCAGGGGAACCAAAATTATATCTGGAAGATTTCATCTGGTTTTCATTCTAGTTTACTGTACGGAGTACGGAGTACATCGATGTCCATTTATTAAGCATCAACTATCTAGCACGCAATTTCAAAAACAACCTTTGGAAAAGAATGCAAATAACTAAAAAGTAAGAAAAAAGTAAATATGGGCTGGCTATCTTGAAACGCACTCCTTAAATCTCCGAATGATGGAAAAAAGAAATCCCGCTCCAAAAAAGGGGTAAATTAATAATTATCCACATATAGGCTTCACATTCTTGAGACTGCAGTTTTCCTCCTCCCCCTTGTTGACTACACAATCACAACCATATATTTCGCGGAATTTGAATGGAGCAAGTCCTTCCAATTTCGCAAGCGCAGCCTCGCTGGCTTTAATCTTTGCATACCGTACAGATGAAGCAATACCTTCGGCTACAAACTCGTCGTGGACGATAACCGCTGCGTATACTCGTGGCTCTGTGCCATCCACCATTTGCACCTCACCGGCCTTCAAACAGTAGCTGGTGCATCCGAAATCGATCGTTAGCCGGTTGTGAAAGTATGTCTGCAACTTATGTTAGCCACCGGCCTTGTACATGAAGTTGTGCGAGGGAGAAGAGGACATACCGTTGGGTGTTTGTTTGCAAAGGTGTCGTAAATGCTCATATCCTCAAAGTACTGTTTGAGGTGTTGCTGGAAGAAATCCTCCACCACCTCAAATTTGAAGTTCGAATCGACAAATATCGCTCCAATGTATGCCTCTAGCATATCCGGCAAGCACTGCAACACTCATCAGCCGCTGACTTCTGTGCTCCCCAAAATTATTCCACCACATACGTACCTTTGGCGGATCACTCGTTGTGGTCCAGGCATCTGGGGAGTTGTTGCTATCAGCCTCCGCAAGTTCAATCTCCTCCACGTATCTAGTGATTTGGCCCAAAAGAGCGTTGCTGAAATATATAAGGTGTCTATGTAACCCTAGCTTAACAGCAACTGCACCCAGAAACTTATTTGATACCATAGCCATCTATTGGACTGTTAGTTTTTAGTCTGTTACTTCAATCTGACTGGAAAAGTACCTTATGTTCTGTGAGCCACTGAGGATCCCGATCTGGATAACGGTGATACAGATATTCAACACAAACCATATCGAGTAAAGAATCTCCTAAAAACTCTAGACGCTGATAGCATGGAACTCTACTCCATGCTGATGGGAACGAAGCGTGTGTGAATGCGGAACGGAGCAACCTTGGGTACCGGAACTGATATCCTAAGCGGTCGCCAATTTGCTTAGCCAAATCCAATTGACCCGCATCCGCTTGGGCGATTTGATAGTCTGGTAGTGAATATAGGTTGACATAACAATTCCACTCCGAAGCTCGGTGGTCGTCGCTGTTCACGAATGTAGTTACTGCTTTGACTGCTGAATCAAACCGATGTGCCTTTCCTCCTGATAACAAAGAAGCGCCGATCAGCGCCTCGCAAATGTCGGCGATCGTTTTGTCGCCCAAAGAATGTTTGTTTTGCGATTCCGATTTGGCTTTTCCTTGGAGGAGCTTAATCCCCTCGGGGTACCAGTTTCGTCTATAAAGCATTATTGTCAGCTGTGAGCACGAAAATCCAGTTACGGGCGCTTTGAAAAACGGACCTGGAAAACCCCTGTGTGCGGATAAACTCGTAGAGTTTAATTCTAACAGCAGTATTGAACAGATTCTGATTGCATATCAGACACATTCGTTTAACGTGAAAATCATATTCGTCGTTGTCAGGGTTCATGGCAAACAGCGAGATGGAGGTAGCCATCTTCAGAAAACAGTCTCCAAGGAACTCCAGCCGTTCGTAGTTCTTACCCATGCCTCGTTGGAAATGAATTTGTTCCCCTCGGTGCTCTTCGGTGTTATCTGAGTCCTTTGTAAGGGCTTCCAGAGCGAGATGCGTTTTGATATTTATATGGAGCATGTCGCATGCCTCTAGAGAAATCAAGTAGGACTCTAGCCGACTTATGATGGCCGGGAAAGCGAAGGCAAACGCAGCAACTGGGGCGGGCAACTACGAAAAACATCAGTCTTGAAAATTATCCCCTCATGGAAGCGAATCTTACAGCTGAGATCCTCAGAGGTTCCGGGCAAATATAATAGGTCGTTCCTTCCCCTTTTTCCTGTTCTGTCTCCCTATCCAGAAGATTTCGGCGAAGTCGAACCAATTCAGCTCGAAAAACTGGCTGCTTCCAGTCGCATTCTCCTAGAAACTTTAGACGGGAGTTCTTAAACAGACTAAGACAATAATTCATTATGTTTTCCATGTACCTTCTCTTCGCCATCGTTGCTGGAGGGTGATCTGAGGGGCTTAGGCTCGGTTCCACCGTGGACGTGAAGTAGCGATATCTGCCGTCCCATTTGTCGAAAAGAAATCGGTTTTCCACAGCGCTGGTTGGCATACCGGGAAACCATCGTATCTCGGGATTGTGCTCCACATACTGAAGAATACTTACGTCGAGAAGTTCTCGGGGATCCACATTTCCTGAGATGTCGGTGTCTCCAGAGTTTAACCTTACCGGGCAAAGCCAATAAGTCATCATGGCCGGTTGATATTCGTATACTTTGTGAAAGAGATCTTGGAATATCCTGAGGGTGAAAGTAGTGAGCAGATCCAACTCGGCTTCCGAGACTCGTAACGAGGTGCGCAGGGGAACCGAAATAACATCGACTTCAATGTCATCCTCAAGATACAATGGGAATTTGGGAAACCTTGGAAGGGCATCTCGTGTGAACAAAAGGAGAGGGTGGTATTCTCGCCGTAATTTGCCCGTTGGCCTCAAGGTCAAAAAAGTGGCATATATTTCCTTCGGAATGGTGCCACGAGCATTCTCCCACAGCTTAGGCTTCACAATCATATCATATTGATTTGCTTTCTTCGATTTTATGGCTAATTTCGCATTTCTCATAGCCGGCAGTCTCTTGTGATACTTTGACACGAAATGGTCATCGAGGAGCCCATTCTTTCTAAGCATCAAACATGTTTCGAAAGCAGCAGATTGTTTGGCATGCAATTTCCGTGCCGACGGTTTACCCGTCATGCCCCGGAAAGGGGATTTTTCAGGGAGACTAGCTTCGCAAACAAAGGCACCGTCAATTCGCTCGATAAAGTAATTCACTTGTGCCGACATATCGTTCTCATATTGCTTGGAAATATTAGCCTCCATGTAGCGCCCTCGGGCAGACACTCTTACCAGAGAGCTTGCGTAATGTGCAAGGACAGCAAGGGAAGACTCATAGGTCAACTTTGCGCCTGTGCTGTGGATGGTGAAAGAATTACGGTATCGTTCATTATCCAGAATCATTCCTAAATCATCACTACTACCTCGAATAATCCTGTCTTCGGGGAGAGCTTCGCAGAACCGCCGCATGATATTCTTGACGACGTTAGTCCACCGGTACGTATGAATTCCTAGTTTTTATGCCTCACCTCTGCTCGCTGGACCTCCTCGACACTTGATGAGTGTATAAGATTATCTCGTTCCACCATATGCGCGTACTACGGATTAAAGTTAGATGGGAATGCCAAATCCTGAGCAGAACGTCATACTATAGAGTGGGAATGTCGAGCTCGTCCACGGCTTTGGACATACTGAATCATGGTCGAATTCAGATCGAACCTAGGACCAAGGTGAGTCTCATACTTTTTGCGGATGTAAGGGATTGTTCTCACCTAATAACCAGGTTGCAATCTGGTATATCCAGTCCCTCTTCAGCAACAGAGGTTGCAAACTTCACCCGTTAGAAAAGCGAATAATATCCTCTTGAGAATACGAAAACTCCAACAAGCGTACCAGGCAATTGAGCTCCCCTTTGCGAAACTTCAACAGTGTCAAAAACTGCTGCCGGAAAGAGAAGTTTGCGCCCCCAATTCCGTCATGTCGGACCCCTATGAGAACCCCCGTTCGCATGTGCTGTGTTCCGATCCGAGAAAACAGTTCTGCTAACAACCTCGCTGTATATCGTTGCTGTATGAATACAATACATTTCGTGTCCGTGTGCCGTTCAAAGTACATGGAAAGCTCATGACTCAATAGTCGCACTTTCGAGCTCAGGTGTTCAGTGCAATCAACCGGAGTATAAAAGGCGTGACTTTTGATCAACTGCGCAGCTTCTCGAAGAAGGTCAATCGCTTCGTCAGCTCCTTTGAGCTGATTTCCAGACCTAGACTGCATGTAGCTCTTAGAGATCTTGCCTTCGAGCTTGGGCAATTCTGCCTCGTCCAGAGCGAATGTCCACAGCCAATCCGAACACCATCTCCCCAGTGTCGAGCTTGCCTCCAAGGCAAACGAGAATATCTTTTCTAGTTCACGGATCCTGCCAAAACGTGATTGCATAGATTTGTACAACTCAGTCTCGGAAGGGTCATCAAGTCTATCATATACCCACATCTGCTCATTTGGCCGTGGTATCGCTTGCCGCAAAGCATTTAGGTTGGACGCGGTTGCAATCTGACTGTCAAGTAGTGCCTCAAGAGTCCTAGTCAAAGGGGTTAGCTGAAATAGAAGTCATATGTCCCGTAGAGATACCGCACATTGCAGCTTTTACCACATCCACCTTCGCGTCAACCGGCGATGCCGTCATTCCAAATATCTTGGGTCTGTTTTGAACTACAATCTTTTGCAAATAGAAGTCTTTGATAATCCTATATATCCCGTCAGCTCCGGTAGTAGGGTAGGTCATATATATTGGGTCTCCTTACCTGGCATACGGGTGGTCCTTTTTAGCATGATGGGCCTCGTCGAAAATAAGAAGATTGATCCGTTCCATTTGGATAAACGAACGGAGCAGACATTGATGTAGAACTTCGGCGGTACAGACAATAATCATATTCCTGGAGAAATGCTTGTCCCAGGTATCCTTGCTCCATAAGTCAGTCTGCATAGCTCCGCAGAATTTATCGATATTTTGATCAATATTTGCTTTCAAAACCGCGGCCTGTTGATATACTAGGGTAACGGTATCGACCTAGTGACTAATTTTCAGATATTAAGCTACTCTCTAAACCCGGAACAGCCAGGACAAACCAGAAAGAATGATATACGAGGTGGTTTGCCATTGGCTCGATCAGCTAATTCGTTTTGAATCATTTGCTTAAGCAAAAGCACTGCGATCAATGTTTTGCCCGATCCTATGAATGTTAATATCTATAGGAGAATGAAATGCAGCAAAAGACATACCCGTATCCAGTACAGCAATAGTATTCGCCGTCTTTGCTTTCTCAAAAAGTTCCAGCTGATACTCTCTTGGGTCATGGATAACAGAGGTAAAATCTTGTTTGTCAATTAAATTATTCATAGACAGCTCACTATCGTGCTTAGCTCTCGCTGCTCGTTGGATATCCTCCGTCATAATGGTTTCAGTTCTGCTGGACAGACTAAATAATAATACCGTCCATCAGAAAATGCAAGGTTCAGGGAATAAGGAGATACGCACAGCGCCTTGAATTTGGCATTTTGCTTCTGTCGTCGATGTTCTGCGTTCAGCGGAGCCTGATCAGAGTTTTCTAACTCGTTATTTGATCCCTCTGGTCCTGAAGCATCATCATGCCTCCCGGCGGTCTGGTCTATATCCATGGCACTCATCGCTGCCCCTGCCTTATTAATCACCTTGTCCTGACACGAGCTTGGAATGGAGTCGGGACTAGCCGCAGTGCAGAAGGTTACCTATCTTGAAGGGTATAGAGCAAAGGAATAGAAGATTCTGTGCCGCAGACGTGAAGGAGGGGGGAAAGTACTGTACCTAGGTACAACAAGTAGTGGACGCTATTCGATGGATTTTTGAAAACAGTGAAAAGAAAAGATAGAAAAGAAGTCTGAGATAAAGTCAAAGAATAACATTAAATAAATTGTAGCTTTATCTAAAGATAAGCAAACAAAGCAGTATGTATCAGTATCAGCTGCAGGAAATGTTGGACGACTAACTACACTGTGTTTGCTGTCGTGATTAAAGAACATCAAAGCGGGAAATAACATAAAAATATGTTTAATCTCACTAGCTGAGCGGATACATACACCATATTCATCGGAATATGCACCTTATGAGAACAGAGTATGGCAATGCAGGTTAATAGTTAATGAAGGCTTGAACCGTGAAGTTGCCCCGCACATACGCACGCATAGTATGTCTAGACACATTTGTCACTGTAGACTGCCGTAATATTAGTTAACTAGTTACCTAGGTAACAAGGTTAGAAGGTTACCTAGATAACTAACATAATCAACCACCTAACGCTCGTTTCCACCTAACGCTCGCCTTTGTAAATCAATTACAATCAACTTTAAATGTTAATATCTCAATAAATATTCATTATTTTAATTTTTTAATTTGTAATCTATAAATATCAAGACTTATAGTATAATATAATTTAAAATTATTATAATATAGTTAAAATTGATTAAAATATAGATTCAATTAGAAAATAAAATACAGTATAATAAAATATATAATATTTTATTATAAATTAAGAAATATGTATTATATATTATTGAAAATAATAATTCTTATATAAATATATTATAATTTAATAAATATTAAATTATTTTATATAAGAATTCTATATTTTAATTTTTAAGAATTTTTTTATTTTTTTATTATAATTTTTTTTATAAATTACAAGTAAAATATTGAAAACTCTTGAAATTTTAAATTTTGAAAAATAATTTATTAAATATAAATATATTTAAATAATTTAATATAATAATTTATTTAAATTACAATTTTAAAGTATAATACATAGTTATTACAAAAATAGTATTTTAAAATATAAGATTTTATATAAAAATTTAAATAAATTAATAATAAATAAGAATTTCAAGATAAAATTTTATATTTTATTAAAAATATATATAATCTATAAGATATTTAATTTTTATATGAAAATAATTTATATTTATAAATATATTTATAAATATAGACTGTGTATTTTATTTTAAAATAATATTTTAAAAAGCTTAATAAATTAATAATTATATGTTATTTTCTCATAGAAATTTAATATAATATAATATATATCTATGAATTATTGTTCTGTTTTTTAGAATAGTTTTAAATAAATATTCATTGAGATATGAATATTTGAAGTTGATTGTAATTGATTTACAAAGGCGAGCGTTAGGTGGAAACGAGCGTTAGGTGGTTGATTATGTTAACTAACTCATCACATGACCCCGATCTCCCGCATGGGGAAAGTTCACAAGCAACAGCAGCTACAGCTACACACATTCTAACAGCGATATCTCTCATTATTAAGGACCTTCAACCTACCATTACCTCCCGTATATACATGTTTCAGTAGCTTAAGCCATGGATTCACAGCCCGAAACCCTCCACGCCCTCTTCTCCCGCGCAAAATCCCACAGGAAAGCTCTAGACTCACCAGAATCAGAAGATCCCCCACCTCTTGGCGACGTGATAGCAGAATTCGAGGAATGCCAACGGCGCATTGCCCAGCTCTCCCTCTTCAGTACCAATGAATCATTAGATGATGTTACCACCGGGGACCTACAGTGCGTAATCCTGTCTATGTTCTAAATTATTATTATTATTATTATTATTTTTATTTTTTTAAGGAGCAAGTGAGGCTAAGAAAATGCTCCAGGTACCTGACCGTTGATTATATCCTTGCCGATCTTCTCCAAAAGTCATACGACACCGACCGTCTTAAAAGTCTCCAGCGGTCGCAGGACGAATATGAAAAGTACCTAGAGAGCCTAGATCAATATGGTCTCCTCTCACCGGAGGACAAGAAGCTCTACGAACGATATACCGAGAACCCCCGCTTCTTCAGCATAGCTCCATTAAATGATGCAGCGGCGCGGAGAAATATCAAAGTATCCAGGTTTCGAGATGAAAAGGAGCTGAAGCAGCGGCTAGAGGTATATATGAACTATAATCCACTCCGTGTTTGTCTCTGACTCCTCCGATTGTACTCGTGCTAAATATGACTTCAAAAATTGGGCAGTATCTTTCACAAAGCCAAAACAGCTTGCAAGCCGATGAAGATCTAGCTCGACAATTATATCTAGCTGAAATTAAACTCTATACACACCAGACATTCCAAGCCCTGGACATGTTATCACAGGAACTATCCATGCTCGCAAGTGCGCAGGCCGCCGCCCCACCCACCAATCCCGTTCACAATAATGATCCTAGACTACGCAGCCCCAGTGATTCATCGGGCTTTTCCGATCGATTGGATGTAGGACTCGCCCAGAATATTCGTGGGGGGAGGACAGGGCCTCTTCTAAGCAAAACCGGCGTACCACTACAGCCATTCGTTCTCACAAGTAAACGCACGGAAATTCGAAAAGGAGTTTTCCGACCCGGCCACAACCTCCCAACCATGTCGATTGATGAATATCTAGAGGAGGAAAAGAAAAGGGGAGGCATCATTGAGGGTGGTGGAGAACAATCCGGCCAGCCAAAGGAAATTGACGAAGATGATATAGAAAAGGCCGATGAAGAAACTATGAAAGCAAGGGCGTGGGATGAGTTCACCGAGGATAATCCGCGAGGGTCCGGTAACACCTTGAACAGAGGCTGATAACTGCGGTCCAAAGTCTTTTGAAGGTGCCATTGACTTTATTCCATTAGCCAATGTCGTCCTGCATTAGCTATCCAGCTATTCTAGGCCCCAGCAACGGAGGAGTAGTTAAATTACTCCTAAAATCGCGATACATTATCAGCGAATGGTTAGGCATTTTCACCACATATTCATGGAATGGAGTGCACGTACACGCAAGGGAAACTTTTGCCTTTCCAATTCTGGCCACTTAGCCAGGAATAATTCAAACAATTCGCGAGTCAGAATTTCATATCCCTTCAGCGGGAAAAAACCCAATGTCAGCTTCATGAATCCCTCCCATCCAGTCCAAACACGCAAAAACAGGGCAAGGGACAGTCAACACACCTTACTCCCAAAATGCAACCCATCGACAAAGAACTCTTTCCCAAACTCCGTCGCACCAGGCAATCCAGAACCCGGAAGCTTCTCCTGAATGTCCAACTCGTGGAATCCCTCCTCCATAACTCCTTGCTCCTTGCACTTGGCCTTCGTAACAGCGGTCCAAAAATCCAGTACCGCCACACGATCCGTTTTCCCTTCAAACTCCTTTCCTATCTCCACAATCTTTTCCGCAAAAAGGCGCTTTGAAGCCCACGTCTTGTATCCCCTGCCTAACTTTGCTATGGACTGCATGACTTCGGCGACTTCAGGAAGGTCATCAGCAGGCTCCATTCCGGGAGATGGTACGTCAACGGGTGGAGGAGTGATCAGTATGACTTTGGTGCTCTGTGCACTGGGGTGGTCCAGGATACTATTCACATAATGTCGGATGTGTTCTTCGAATTCTAGGAGGGGCACGTAAGGACCTGAGGATAAGAGACAGGCATCGTTGGCGCCTAGGAAAATGGTAATGAATAAGGGGGCGGGGGCTCCACGGTCTGTTATAACATTGATAATCTCCCTTTCAAATATGCGACGGAGGGTTTTTGTGGTTTGACTAGATTTGGGAGGGAGATAATTATTTAGATTTAAAGCAATTACATTGGAAACGAAGGGGCGTATGGATATGGGATGGAAGATGGGTATATTTGGACGAGTTAAATCTCAGCAGCACGAAGCAGGGCGAGCAGCATATTTGCTCCCTTCCTCACATAAGGGTACAATGGAACCACCTGGACTATGCTTACCCAGAATATCCTGCGTTAAATAATGAATCAGTCCTATACTAAAAACAAAAATTCCCCCCCCGCGATCGAAACCCTCTAATCCAACCCCCGGGTGTCCCCAATTTCGCTGCTTCCAAAAAAGAAATAGCGCGTAAGGCACATGCATACACACACCTTCATTTACAATCTCAACCCTCCCATGATAATATTCCTCCAACTTCCACGCAAACCCATTATTCGACTCATAGCAGGCCCGCTCAGTCAGCGAGTCTCCGAACAGATAGATGCGTGGGTAATCATTTGGTGTTGAACTTTTAGTCATTGTTTTAATAGTAAAATGAACAGTGGGCGGGTATTAAATATAAATACTAAACGGCGGGGGAAAGTATAAAAGTTGTTGATCGGAATTTGGAGGGGAGTTTTACGCCCAGGAACCAGAGAACAGCTGGGAATTCAGCAGTGGGAATTAGAGGAGATAATGGGAGATGGATGTTCAATCGAATGTTGTCGATTGATTGATGTATTTAAGGCTGCTGCCGCTGGTCGTTTCAAGCTGCCGGTGTCGCATTTGAGTCACATGATAGAACTCCTTCCAGCAGGCAGAAGGCATCCATTCATATGAAAATTCCTTCCTGCTCCACGGTATGAGAATGATACATAGATGGCTATGGAATCGGATCATGGTCATTATCATAGTAATGCATTGTGGCGCTAGCAAGTGCTATATATCAAAGCTGAATCCTCGCTATAAACATCAGAGGGGAATTTTGGGGTATTGCACAGATGTATTGAACACAAACTCAATAGATATCATATATCAGATAACCGAAGAGGCTGGCTACATAAGACCTAGGCGGCCTGGTCAAGTAGTCAAATGCCCCCGCAGCTACTCCGCTCCCCATGCCTTCTTCTTCTTCTGCTGAATCTCCGCCAGTATTCTCCCAGCACCCAGCGTAACCAACTCATCGGCAACCTGCTTCCCAAACACCTCTGCCTCCTCCCCAGATTTAACATCCTTATCCTTCTCAATCTCCACAGCTTCTTTCCCATCTACACTCGCCACTATGGCCCGAAGCCTCAAATTCTCTTTGCCTTCCGAATCCTGCACCCATTCCGTCTCAACCCCAAGGGGCGCGCTACAACCCCCTTCCAACGTCCTCAGTAGGTTCCTCTCGGCCAAGCACGCAAGAGTAGTCTTCTTATCCCCAATCTTCTCCACCATCTGCTTCATATGTTCATCATCTGCGCGTATCTCAATCCCTAGCCCGCCCTGACCCACAGCATGCAGCATCTTGCCATGCTTCGAGTCGAGGTAGTAGGTGATACGGTCGCCCTGGCCAGTCCGCAGCAGGCCCGCTGCAGCCAGGATGAGACAGCTAAAAGGCCCATCTTCCGCATCGAGTTTTGCTAAACGAGTATCGATATTGCCTCTTACGTCCTTTGCTATGAGTTGTGGGTAGTGTCGTGATAGCTGCGCGATGCGGCGTACTGAGGAGGTACCCACAACGGATCCTGCGGGGAGCTCTGCTAGGGCCATACTTGGCAGGCCCTTCTTGATAACCAGCACATCTCGAGGATCCTCTCGGGGCATCATAGCACCGAGAATGCATGTTTCGGGGATTTGCGTTGGGACATCTGTTGAAGAAGAAAACGGATTGGTTAGCACTACTGGGAAGAAAATTGAAAATAATAATAATAATAATAATAAAAGAGGGACGGAAACAACAACTAGAAGCGAAGAGAGGAAATGGTAAATTCTTTATTTAAGAGCAAAGAAATAGGCAAATACGGGAAAACAACGCACCTTTCAAAGAATGAACAACAAGATCAATCTGTTTCGCGACCAATAGTTCCTCAAGCTCCTCCGTCCAGAGATTCTTTGACGTGAATTCGCGTAGCGGGGTGACTTTATCAAGGTCTGCTGCGGCGTCCTTGGTGAGGATGTTGAATTCGTATTGTGGCCAGGCGGCTTTCAGGGCGTCTCGCACGAGATCCGTTTGCACGAGAGCGAGTTTTGATCTGCGTGTGCCAATTGTGAAAGTGGTCTTCGTCGGTGACGTTTCCGACGCGGGGTGAGTCTGTGGAGGGGTAGATGTCATTGCTCAAGTGGTTGAGATCGGATATTATTATGTAGTTAACTATTACTGAAGTAATACAGGCTTGAGTGGAGGCATTAACAAGCCAATTTATCTATCAAGAATAGTAGAATATCTGTGGAGGAGTAAAGTGGGTATATTTCTTGAAGCGTTGGACTGGAATGTGATGAGCGTAACTAATGAAATATTTATTTTTGGATGGTTTGTTTTTAACATGCCGAAAAGAAATTCCGCCACCAAACTCTCATATTAGTTAGTTAACTATACATAACTACAAAGATACAATAACTTATTTACGGGGCTACCTTAGCTGAGATGGTAAAGAGAGGGTGGAGAAATCGCATATCCGACGCCAAAACATTTATCACAAGACAATAATAATAGTAATAGTTAATCTAGATCTACGGATTATTAACTTGTTATCGCCATCTTCACAACTATTCTGGGCTGTTCTGGCGCTGTCAAAATTAACCTCGGCACCAGGCGGGTGGGATAGCCTCAACTTCCTCCGCCGCCGCCGTCGCCGCCCGCCCCCAGCGCAACATCATAAACTCTTGTTGCTCCCATTCCTCAACTCTCCTCCCCCCACTCCCACCACTCCTCGCTGCTGCCACGGTGTTGCTGATCCAACAACTTTCCACTTCTCTCAATTGTCCTATGAGTGGCCGCTGCGCCTTATCTATTCTCCCGTGTTACACCTACTTACTACCTGCTCTCTTATCCCGGCTCTCGTCCCTCTCACAAGGTCTAGCTAGACCTTGCTAGTTGCCTCTGCTCATTCAGTTAGCTGTTATAGTCAACAAGGACGCCTTTCTCCGCATTTTTAGTGCGATAACTATCTAAACGCTCCTTCATACTCTAGAAGAAATCCATCGAGCTTCTGCCATCATGGGTACCAACCCGTCGAGATCAACAAACCTGGCTTTGCTGCCGTTAGCCAGAGATTCTGTCCTACTGCCCGGTGTCACCCTCCGTATTCCGCTGTCAGACCGTCCTGATATCCCCCTGCTCCTTACCTCTCTCTTCAGCAAAAGCTCGTCGAAGACTGGAAATGCCACTCTTGTTGGCTGTGTTCCTCTCAATTCGCCCTTCCTGAGCAAGGATGGCAAGCAGCTGTTGGAAAATGTGGACAGAGCGAGCACACGATCAACAGCTTCTAAAACAATCGATCCAGCTAAGGCGTCCAGGCACGATCTCTTCGGCTATGGCACAGTAGCTAAGGTAGCCGGCGTCCAGGGAAGACCAAACAGTGAGCCATATCTACTTGTGGAAGGCTTGAGAAGGTTTTCGATTCGCAAAGTTACCAAGGAGACACCCTTCTTTGAGGCGGATATCACGATGCATGATGAAATCGGTAAGCAGCCTGGTGCCCATTGTTCAAATACCGTCCATGTATATATAAAATCGCACATAAAACTAATAGATATCGAAAACATAGTCGCCCTTGCCACCGACATCGAAATCGTAACACTCTTCGACCAGGTCAAACGGCTGTCAAGAGAGCTTTTAGCTTTCCTCAGGCTCACGTCCTTCTTTTCCCACCAAGCCAACGGCATATCACCTCTGATTGCTCGACGGTTCGAACTTTTTATTGCCAAAAAGAATATTTCGCAAGCAGGAACACTCGCTGATTTTATGACGGATGTTGTGGAAACTACATTCGAAGAAAAGCTACAGGTTCTGGCTTCGGTTGACCTGAAGACTAGGCTAGAAAAGGTCGTTGAGCTTTTGTCAAGACAAGTTCAAGGCATGAGAAATAATATCAAGGTGACTTCCATCACCACATCGAGTAATCCTTCGAATTTTGGCGTTGATATCAATCAGTTGGACCCGCGGCAAAGAGAACTCCTCTCCAGGCGCTCTATGACGGGAATGAACGGGTTTCCACCTGGGATTAACGGAGGCATGGGGGATGGTGGTGAAGAAAAAGAACCGAATGAAATAGATGAACTCCAGCAGAAGCTTCAAGATGCCAAGCTAAGCCCGGAAGCCCAGAAGGTAGCAGATCGAGAACTCAAACGGCTCCGTAAGATGAATCCTGCCAATGCTGAATATGGCGTCTGCCGAACCTACTTGGAGAATCTGGCTGAGATCCCTTGGACTAAGGTCACTGAGGACCAATTGGGTATCGAAACACTCCAGAGAGCCCGGAAACAGCTGGACGATGATCACTATGGTCTGGAAAAAATTAAAAAGCGCCTACTGGAATACTTGGCAGTTCTTAAGTTAAAGCAAACTCTCAACAACGACGTTGACAATCAAATTTCGAAGCTCTCAACGGATTTGGACGTTTCTGAGAGCCGCAGCGAGGATGAAGCCGAATCTAAATCTGATTTTGACCGGGACGCTATAGAAACTAAGTTACAGCTTCTCAAATCAAAGCGTATGGCAGATAAATCTCCAATTATGCTCCTGGTTGGCCCTCCTGGTACCGGAAAGACCAGCCTGGCCAAGTCAGTTGCCACGGCACTTGGCCGCAAATTCCATCGTATTTCTCTTGGAGGTGTGAGGGATGAGGCTGAGATTCGTGGACACCGGAGGACCTATGTCGCTGCCATGCCTGGGCTGATCGTGAATGGGCTAAAGAAAGTGGGTGTCGCCAACCCAGTTTTCTTGCTTGATGAGATTGACAAAGTGGGCGGTTCCAATTTCCACGGCGATCCATCAGCTGCCATGTTGGAAGTCCTTGACCCAGAGCAGAACCATAGCTTCACAGATCACTACATCAACATTCCCATCGATCTGAGTAAGGTATTGTTCATCGCAACCGCGAACTCTTTAGATACCATTCCTCCGCCCCTCCTAGATCGTATGGAAACGATCCAACTCTCCGGTTACACAACCATTGAGAAAAAGCATATTGCCTCCCGCCATCTCGTGCCCAAACAGATCCGCACGAACGGCCTCTCGGACGGCCAAGTTCTCCTCTCAGACGAAGTCCTCGAGAAAGTCATCACAGCCTACACCCGCGAGTCCGGCGTCCGCAATCTGGAACGCGAAATTGGCTCCGTCTGCCGTTACAAAGCCGTCCAATACGCCGACGCGAAGGACGCTTCCAAAGAAGACACATACAACCCGCATGTCTCCATCGAAGACCTCGACGAGATCCTCGGCATCGAACGCTTCGACGAAGAAATCGCAGAAAAACACGCGCGGCCGGGCATCGTGACGGGTCTCGTCGCCTACTCCACCGGCGGCCAGGGTAGCATCCTCTTTATTGAAGTGGCTGACATGCCCGGCAGCGGCAGTGTGCAGCTTACCGGCAAGCTGGGTGATGTGTTGAAAGAATCCGTCGAGGTAGCACTTACCTGGGTCAAAGCGCACTCGTTCGACTTAGGATTGACCCACGACCCTAACGAGGACATCATGAAACATCGCAGCTTGCATGTGCACTGCCCATCCGGAGCGATCCCGAAGGATGGACCTTCGGCCGGCCTCGCACATACCATCGCCTTGATCTCTCTATTCTCTGGCAAGACGGTGCCACCAGACGTCGCCATGACGGGTGAGATATCTCTTCGTGGCCGCGTGATGCCTGTTGGTGGCATTAAAGAGAAGCTCATCGGCGCGCACCGTGCGGGCGTGAAGACGGTGTTGCTCCCTGAACATAATCGCAAGGATGTACGAGAAGTGCCTGCTGAGGTTAAGAATAGTTTGGAGATTGTGCATGTCAAGTAAGCTCCGACCCCGTTTTGCTTTTGATTTATTGAATCGAAATTGCCTCTTTTCCGCCATGTTCTCCGCCATGTTGCTAACAGTTTTAACCACAGGCACATCTGGGAAGCAATCCGGCACATTTGGCCGCATGCGCACTGGCCAGGCGAACACACGCCGATGCTTGAGAGCAGATTATAATTCCTCATTTTCTGACCCTGCGGTTTTACCGTGTGTCAGTCCTTCGTCAATGAAAGAAAGTATCCCACTGAGCAAGATTGCATAATTAGCGAACGGTGTTTGATCTTTTATTTATTGGTTCTTTATTGTTGTTCTTTCCTTTGTCATCCCAATTTGTATTCTTCCATACCCGTTTTTGTCTTTTCTTTCTATATTCCTACGGTACAAACATAATAAGCATTGATTTTTGTAGTGCAACACCCTACTCCTCTCCAATCCCGCGCCTATTTCGGGCTGGTTTTCAAGTTAATTAACACCTGCGCGTTGCGTCATTCCCATATCTCGTTGAGAGAACGAGGAACCCTTTTAGTGACCACTATCCTAGTTGTTAGTTTTTTTTTTTTTTTTTTTTTTTTTTTATTGTTGTATGTATAAGTGTTTCTCCAAGTATGTAAGTGATCAATCAATGAAAGGGGTATTTTGGAAAACTGCTATGGAAGAAACGTTTCTGTAATGATTCTCCTGGTTAGCTTCTGAGGGTTTGGGGAGAAAGCGCGTGCCAGGGCCTCTATATTCAGAGTTTTACGTCCTACAAACTTTCTGAAATTCCCCATAACAGAAACATGTCTATTTTTATATCACACTAAATAGAAAATACATAACTGAAACCCATTTGCGGGTTTCCTCCTTTCTATTCTCGTTTCATATCTAAACGAGGGAGAGACTTACACCTCGAACGTCTTCAACCCACGTGAAAGGATCTCTAAAAACAACAAAAAGCTGCACAAGAAAATAGAAATACCCAAATATCAACCCGTGAAAGATGTTTTACAAAATAAAAGGAAGGGATCCCATATCCATATACATATAATTTCCCAACCAGCCTTCACCCCGACAAGGCAACTAGACTCACTTCCTCTCCTCCACAGCTTCCGTCACATCCTTCCCGTTTAATATCTCGGTAGGCGTTATCTTCGCACTACCCAGCACGGGTGTGTCATAATTCAACCCCAGCGCCTTCCAAGTCGGCTGCCACTGCTCCTTACCCTCCAGCAACCTCTTCGCCTGCTCAGCTATGGTCTTGCGCTTCTTTTCTGGCAGCGGCTTGTTCTTCGCGTCTGGCGCCAAGCTCTCTGACATTTCCTTTTGGAACTCTTTGGCTTCAAAAAACCTATCCTTCTCCCATCTGTCATGCAGTAAATGAAACAAGCAAGTGGCTGAGTTAGCGGTGGGGCTGCTTCTGCTAGCTGACACGGAAGAGGTAAAAAAAAGAAGGGGCAAAAGGGACATACGCGGTATAGTCCTCCGGTTCTTCGGGCCACACGAAGGGTTCCGTCATCTCAACCGTCATCTTCTTCCTGGCCATTGGTCTCCGCCATTTGCCAAACCCGTCTTTCCCGCAAGGCTTCTGGCGCGTGACTTTCTGCTGTTCGACATAGCTTCGCACTTTCAATACGTCCACGCCGTAGACCTGTTTCAGGTAGTCTTTGATGTCCAGTTTGTTGAAGGTCAGTGGGACCCAGAAGGAGGCATAGCGCGGCGGGAGGAATGGGGTGCGGATGAGTGTGATCACGAAGTCGGGTCTGGGTTTGCGTTGCATAGGTTAGCTAGCTATCTCTAAAACTAAGATTTAGGTAGATCCCCCAGAAAACAAGTAGATATAGGAGCATTTATGCAAATAGGAATAACGGTGAATTCCTGGGGGTAGGGTGGGGATCTATACGTACAGATATATCTGCTTCCGTTGATCGAGCGGAATAGGGCGTAGGTATGGGCGAGCGTCTTGGAGGCGCTTCAACCTTTCTGCTACTTTTTTGCGCATGGTGACTTATTTCATTGGCGTACGGCTATGATAAGAGGGAAAAGAGAAATCGGGTCGGGGAAGCGAAGCGATTGGAGATAATCTTTCTCGACATCGAATGATATGTCGAATTGGGTCTGCCGCAGAAAGAGTTGCCGGATCGGAGACGAAAATGCACTATTGGCACGAAAAGGTGACCGTACAAGTTTATATCCTGCAAGTTAATTAGAGTACGAGTAAGGGGAATATAAAAAGAGGAATTTTACATGAAAACCCAAATAAATATTTTATTAGACCTGATCATCTCATTAAATGTTAGATGCTAATCATTAAAATTTACCCATTATGCATGCTGTCTGTGAAATCCAAACACCGCCTCTACCCATGATCCCAAACGCCGTAAGTGAGGGCAAAAGTGTATCAATATATTCATGCAGCTTGTGGTTGAGCCTCAGATATCCGGAGCTGCTCGATATCTAGTCTCTGTGTAGATTCGGGCTCAGGTTGCTCTACCTCAGTCTCCTTCGGCTTCTTCTGTATCGTGTTTCCAAAAGCATCCACCTCAGTACCCAAAGACACACCATCGTCCTCGTTCCCTTCCTCTGCCTCAGATTCCCCCTCATCCTTTTCGTCGTCTTCGACTTCATCCCCTTCCTCATCAGACCGTATGTCATCACGCTCTCCACTCCCATCCCCATCTCCATCGACACCCATCTCTTTCATATACGCCTCCAACTCCCTAGCCATTTTCCTTGAGAAACCCGACGCTTCAACCTCAACATCCAACCTCGCACCCCCTTTCTTTGTCCCTACCAATTTTTTCGCATCTTTAAAAAACGGCCCCTTCTCATCACTCACAAACCCAAACCTCCTTTGAAAATACCGTTTAATGCAGTGCACATCTCTGTCAAAATACATCTCGGCATTGGGATGATCCACAGACACCATCTGCGGAAAATCAATAAGGATGGGGATCAGATTGAGATTCTCTCCCTCCTCAGCGCCATCATCTCCTTCCTTCCTCTTCCATTTTGCCACGTCAGACCCAATCACCTCCTCCTTAATCAAAATATTAAACTCGTTAAAATCACCATGTATAAGCCCCACCCCGGCCAACCGCAGAATCATCTCCATAAGCTCCGAATAAAGCCTGCCAGGATCCGGCACGGAGGAAATCTGTCGCAGCGGGAACGCGTCAATCAAACTCATAACGATCGTATGTCTATTCTGCGCAATGGGTTCGGGGACCGGAAACCCATGATCGTGTAGCGCTTTCATGAACGCAAATTCTTTCATCGCTGCGAGGCGAGACATGTACATCCATGACGCGGAACTGCGGTGGCGCAAGTAGTCGCGGTTGGTCTTGACGGTGCGGAAGGAGATGCGGCCCAGCCGGTGGATTTTGAGGATACGTTGTGTGCCGTCGGAGTTGGCGACGACGATGATATCGGATTCCTTGCCGACGCCGATTTGGTTGCCGACGGAGTATATGGATTTTTGCTTTTGGTGGGAATTTAGGGCGAGGTAGTCCAGCCCGCCGTATGTAAGGCGGTAGCCGTCGTCTGGTAAGAGAGTAGCCGCATTTTAGTTTAAGTGTGCGAGAAATAGACTCAAAAGCGGTGTAATTATGTTTTCAGAAGACCATGGCCATGCACATTGCTTATGCTATACGTACACCTCGCATTCTTAACCCTCGCTATCAGATTAATCTTCGCTAGATTCGATATGCACTTATGCACAATGCTTCCCCCGCGCAACCCGGATAGCTGGACGATTAACGGCGTAGGTACTACTTCATGATTCCGGCTGCCCATTTCAACCTGTGAGAAAAGAGAGCGAGGAGATCATCTTGTCAGTTCTAAGGTGCTAGGAGATGTCTATGAGACGGGGTGCGGGGGGAGGCAAGGCGGAGCTTAAACATACAGCTGCGAGAGTCCGGAAGTCCTCTGCGGCCAGATACCGCATTGCCTTTGGGTCGAGCCTCATTTTGGCAGGTAAGTGACAACAGTTCGAGTAATAGAGGGAAATGGGCAAGGTTGCTGTTCGCCTTTGCTTCTTTGCCCTTTTTTTTCTGGTTGCTTGATGCTCTTGGAGGGGGTTGACAAAAAGCGCAGCGAACTATCTTAGCCCTAAACCCTAATTTTATTTGCTTTTTTTCAGACAGGACAAAAACATACCGTTTATAAAAATAATTTGACGTTGATAATTATAAGTAGTTAACTATCAGACATCATGACAATGCCATAATTAATAGGAGGGCCGCTACTGGAATGTTTAAGGGCCTACCTTGTTTTATATATATATCCTCAGCGGGCGGTCATGCTCGCAAATTGCAAGCTGGCCAAGTGGGCAACTTCTGGACTCTTTATCCTTAATTTACAAGTAGATTGGGGGGTTACAGAGGAGGTAGAAGACTGTTTGCTTCGCTTATAAGATCCTGCGCGCGGTGAGAATTCCTTCTTTCTTCTAAAAGTGTGAATAAAAACTGGACTTGAGAACACGAAGCACCAAGAGGATAAAGGAGAAATGAAATATAATATGATATGCCATTTAAATCGTAGGCCAACCAGTTGTATTTGGATTTTAGAGAGAAGGGCCTCACTCCCTAATGATGAAAGAAAAGAACTACCCATTACACGCTATACACACGGACAAGTAGATTCGGCTCGGAAAAAAAGAAACCAAGAACAGCCAGGAGAATCGAAAGTCGAACTTTTCCTTAGGCTGTGCTTTCCCATTCGGGGTTCTGTAGGGAGAATACCAAGTCAGATATGTGCATCAGTGCCTTTAAAGCTTAGGAATTTATCTTTTGCTTACCTTTCGCAGAATCACGAGTCCCTCTAGAGTACTACTTAGGCTGATGTATTCTTCATCTTCCAACTCCGCCCTCTCCCCATACGATAGTAGCACGGGCGTGCTCTGCGTTTGCCATCCGGTGATAGTCTTGGGTTTACCTGCCTGGCCCACCACATCCACAGCCTGACCGACGCGGACGTTCACAGTAAGGGGCTTCAGATCTTCATCGAGCGTCACCAGGAATCGCGGGTACATGGCTGTGACAAGGAAGTAGAGGAGATAGTGCGAATCGGCGAGGATGAAATCTTTAGCGTCGATCATGGCTACAAGGACAGTGAGGAGGCCTGCGGCCGCCACTCGTGAGAGGACCTGGCGATCGGTATGGAAAGGGTTGACGGAAAGGCTGCCCTTGCCCATATGCAGGAGACCCTGCGCAATGCGGACCATGAAGAGCGAGTTCTGATCACGGTGGTAGTAGCTTGCTAATTGTCTGAGGAGCTGCGCGAGCCGTGCATTATTTGTTCCGGCGCCAAGGAGACCCATAGCGAAAATGGAATTGATGGCGACATCGTTGTCAGTGTCATGACTATAGCGGGAAAGCGTGTCGTAAACCTTCATTTGGGGGTTGCTAGGGCTGACCAATCCCATGGCGAGTGGGACCGCTTTCCTGATGTTTGCGGCGCCATAGTGCATAAGGTGCCCAAATTGCCGGAGGACCATATCTTGTCCAATATCTTCACCCATGGCGATGAGAGAGAGGCCTAGCACAGCGTATGATTGTACCAATTCCTCGCCTTTCTTCTCTTCCTTGTCTTCGATGACGTCGTTACAGATGTGCAGCAACTCTTGAAGCTTCAACACTGTACCGGTACCGGCCCACGCGCACACCGAAGCAAGGACAGAAGTAGGTTTCGCCATGGGATGGTCAATCGCCTTGAGGATATCCAAGATAACATCGACCTCTTCTTGTCGGCCAAAGTAAAGGAGTGCAAGACCAAGTGCCATAAATCGCGTCCATTTATCCTTCATCTGCCTTTGTCTCTCCTCATCCATCAAAGTGGTTGCAATAGCTTCACTAACTTGATGATTTGAAGAGCCGACGAAGATCATTCCCAGTGACACGGCTGCCATGGCCGATATCTGCATGTCGAGGGAAACATCCTCAACAATCGGCAGTAGAAGCTCCAAGAGCTCCTCCTTGCACGAGCCAGCATACGCTAGGCCGAGACCCATTATCGATGCCACTCGTACGGGAACACTCTTGGCCTCCGGGCCGACGGACTCACTGAGTAAAGCCATCGCGGGGTCCGCATCAAGTCTAACACCGGAATTGAGAATTCCGATACCAAGTAATCCTCCTGCCTTGATTTGCTCCTCTTCCAACAAAGTGAATTTGTCGATCTTATCCAAGCCTTCCTCCACATCCCACTGTAGCAGCATTCCCATAGACGCAGCGGTCGACAGCATGCCGTCATCTTTTGTTTTCCAGACCCAAGGGCCCTTATCGCCGTCGACCAGCATGAGTTTATCATTACCAAATCCAGCATTTGCGAAGGCGTTGACAAAGGCGCTTGCCAAGTTATGTCTTGCGGAATCCACATTAGTAAGCCCGGCTCCCCGGTTGCTTTCCAGATGTGTTTTGTAGATGTCCTCGGGCATCTTAGGATCTAAAATATTGAGCTCCTTCGCGAGAGCCTTGAAGTGGTTATGCAGCTGAATATTGTGGAGACACTCCGTTAGCTCTTGGCCTCCTTCTTCCTCCTCTTCTGGTGTCAATTCAAGCCATATCTGTTGTCTGGCAATAAGGAAGGCCATCTGCCTTCTGATCGCCTGGTCATTTGTTGCATTGAAATCTTTCTTGATAAGATCAAGATCGTTCAGCCGAATAGCAATAACGATAGCTTGAGTGAGCTTGTTATAAGTCACATAGATGTCATGCGCTGTCCGGAGGAACTGGTGGTCTTCGGGGTATGTGAGAAGGTTGACCATGCTGACCATATACAAGCAGACCCTCGAATACGTATTCTCGTCGAGGAACTTGGGTATTTCCTCAATCATCTCAAGTTCACTCAAGAGGTCCACTGCATCTGCTTCGGCGTTGTGGGCTAGGAAGTAAGGAACGAGCGATAGTGAAAGATCGACCAAATCCTGCACATCCTTATCGTCCGTCAACCTATTCTGATATTCCTGGCCAATCTCCAGCGCAAGGTGGCGGATGTACTCATGGCCCCATGAACCCAGATCGTTCGATTTGGTAATGAGGCGATATTTGAGTGTTTCCAGCTTCTCTTCGTCACCGTATGTCATACCGAGGACTGATAGCATGTCCGCAAGAGAATCCTGTAGATGCATATATCGGTTAGGCCGAAAAAAAAGTTCACCAGATCAAGGACATCCATTACGGAAAAAAACCCCGTACCTTATCATCGCCCGCGGGCCATTGTTCGTAAAGCGCAGTAAGCTCGTCATAATGCGGTCTAAGGAATTTAAGAGGTTTCGGCACAGCTGTCATAGAAGAGGTAGACGTCTTGATGAAGTTCTTAATCGCTTCCAGAGCAGGCTTATAAAGAGACGTATCGGGCTCCTAATATAATTAAAAACGCGCATCCGCGTGTCAGCTTGTTGATTTCGAAACGGGGTTTTAAATGAGCTCCAAAACCTGCCCGGCCCCGCCGCCGGTAAGTAGCAACTAACCTGTAACCTCTCAACGAGCATCTCAAGTTCATTTTTCAACTGTTGATCTTCTTCGCTAAGCTCTTCTGCAAAGTCCAATACCGGGTGTTTGTCAGCTTCCATTCGAAACAACATTAGGATTCCAACCTGACCAAGGCAAACAGAAGGGTATTCCTGCTCTCCCTTCCATACCTTCCTTAGGACCCTCCTCCTTCTTCCCATTCGTAAGAGGTTTCCCATCTTTCGCATCCTTATTCTCCCCATTTAATTCCCGGATATCGTCTACTTTTCCTTTGCCCTTGTCTGCCGCATTGGGCCGCTCATCCTTCGCCATGGCGCAGGGTCTATCTAGTATATCAAAAGGAAGAAAACGCGTTTCAGGGAATATAGCGGGTTAGCTTGTTTAAGGACCAAAGAGCGATGATAGGATTTGGAAGTTAGGAGGGGGATAGGCTTTGAGAGTCCGCTGGTGGTTATAAGGAAGGTTGGTGAGAAGGTGAGTTGAGAGCTTGAGAGCCTTGTCGGACGTTGCGTTGCCCAACCTTTCCAAACCGGAGCTCCAGCACGTAACTAGCAAAGAAGTTACATAAGCAATGCAAGTGGGTCACATGACGTGCGCAATTGCCGCTGCCTACAACTAGAAGTGTGCAGAGTTAGCTTTGCTAATAGGGGGATTATATATTAGGTATACGTGAGCAATTAAAGAAATTAGTCTAATAATATCCAGCAAGTGCCAGCAAATGCCCTTTGGAAGTATGTGCACTTTAGATTGATTGCAAAGGGAACAGATGATGTGAACAGAAAAAACTATGGACGGGAATACAAGACAACCACAAATTTATTGCCTATGCTATGGGCCACTTCTGAATTTCATATGAAAAGTTAAATAAATGAAGTAAATGAACAACCAAATAAATAAAATAATAATAGTAATAATGAACGAGGCATGCTGGCCAGCGATATATATTTTAGACAACCATAGTGGACAAGCCACGTATGGAATATGTTACAAACGAGTATACAGATTATCACTCAGCTCCCCTCCTCTCCTCGTCCTTTGAGCAGAATAGATCATCTGCCTTCATATCCTCGACCGCCTGCGGCTGCTGAGCGTGAGCATCACACCTGCCAATCCTCTCCCGGAATTCCTTCAAATACGCCTGCGTCCTCTCAACCAAGTCAGGGGAGGAGGTGTCTTTCCGCGAATACGGCAAGACATGCACAGGGGATATCTCCTTCGGTAATCCTGCTGGGAATAGATTTAGGAGGGTCGATATCGACGGAGATGTAGCTAGGGGTTTCTCGATGGAGCCTAAATCAACTTCCTGTGGTGGTGCTTCCATCGACGAGGAGCCGCCGATAAGCAGCTGGTCGGGTCCGCTGACCAGATGGTCATCGTCGGTTTTTTCTGGTTTTTTGAAGGTGGGATTAGACGTCTGTGGATCGGAGGCGTACTCCTCCGGTAAGCGGTATAGGTCGTTGTGAATAGTTGCTAGCACGGTGTGGGCGGTTGTGGTGGCGGGGAAAGAAGGATATAAGAGATAATAGCCCCGGGCACGGATTAGTTCAAGCATATATTCCATCCATGATGGGAACTTGTTCGAAATGAGATTGGGGTGTTTCTTTGGATCTGGACCACGGGCGGCGCCAAGACGGTTAGAAAGGAATGATTGGAATTCAACCCATTTGTCACCGAAATATAGAGCTGCGTTGCTATTGGGGGCCTGCCAAAGAAAGACTGGGATTTCCTTTTCGGGATCCTGAAGGATGTCGATACGGTCTGATTCGGTTGGTGGGGTAAACGGTTCATCATCGACAGTAGGTGCAGCAGACGGAAGTTCGAGGGATATTCCCAAAAGCGAGCACAAGGGCTCCTCGGTGGAAACGGAATATTTATATTTGAGAATGGCGTATTTGAGGTAGTGGTAATAGGACGGTGCAAGATCCGCCTGGGCAGAGAGGACGAGGACATGTGAGTAGGCCGGGTCTTTGGGATAGACTGAATCGACCGTTCGAAGTGTTGCTTCTTGAGGAGTGATGCTACCAGGTTGTATTCGCCGTCGGAGGGTGAAATGATTATGCGCACTATTTGGTGGCCATTTGAATGATTTCAAGTGTTCAAGCAAAGGAGGATCAACATTGTGTGGCAGCTCAATGGTTAGTCCAGGGGCATCACCAAAGTAATCCGCTCTTTGAAGAGAACGGAGTAATCGAGTTAGGGAGCCTGAGGAGGCTGGTGGTGCTTGCACGAGTATTTGCAAATCGACCTTGTTCCAAGCTGAATTCATAGTAAATATCAGATGCTCACGCCCTAAGGTATATTGGGATGTATTTGGGGATGGATTATTCTACGTACCTCCAAGTGAGCCAGAGTCCAGCTTTGACAACCACATGAAGTTGCTCGCACGAGCTGGAAGGCTAATATGAGGCAGGCCCATCCGGCCTGCTTTGACTTTGACCCCTTTCCAAAGGAAATCTTCCTCGCGTTTATAGCTGTGAGTAATCACAACGCTGGGACGGAAGACGTTGTTAATACGGGACAGCCCGGCGATTACACTCGATTCCATACGGGCATCGGTAGACTGAGGGGCATAGTCGGGACGTGCATCTTTCAAAATAATTTAGCAACATTCTACCCATAGAGAATCAAAAACAAGGCATTTGCTGCATCATAAAAACTCACCATGCCAAAGCAAGGGACACTCCTCCGCATCCACGCCATTAACCATCCGTATTCCCTGCACCGACACGTCGTTCCTCCCCATCACCGCAAAATGCACGTGGTTCAGCTTCTGCCTCGCCATCTCACAGGCTAAAGGTAGAAGGTCAGAAAGAGCCTGCAAATCCGCCGCCGCAAAGACCACGGCTTTAGGACGACCGAGAAACTCGAATCCTGGCACAGTGTACAACGATTTGGCAAGAGAGTAGAACTTTATTGGCCCACTATAAGAACGCGAGCCATCGCGGAGGATTTTGTCTGTCGTATCAGGAGGGGGTTCAGGGGGGGTTTCTGATGAAATGGAGCTTCCATCTGATTTTTGTTGGTCAGGGTCATCAGGCTGGGGCCGGCCGTTATTGAGCGCGTGGAAGGGCTTCGTCGCGGGGGTTAAATTGGAGGGGGGTATGGCCTTAAAGAGTAGATAGAGGATAAATATGCCAATGAAGGCGAGGAGAATGCGTCTCCTTCGGGGAAATTTCCATGATGATATGCCCGACCTTGGTTTGAACTGTGTGGATTTTCGAGCGCGGTCGTCGTCGAACTTTTTGCCCAGCTCCTCGTCGCCGATATAGCCTCTTCTCGGCCCAGACATGTTCCGTCCGCACTAGGAGTCAACGGTGTGCTCCACTGGAGCTTCGCTGGGCAGTGTGTTTCATTCGAGGTTATATGGTTTCGCAAGTTGATGGGTGATGACGCATGGTCGCCTTCGCTTCGTGAAATAATCCTTCTTATTGTAGGCGGGTGGAGGTAGGGCCAGCTAACTTCCACAGAGATTGAGGTGATTGGTGTGAGTTATTATTCAATAATGACAGAAAGGACTGTAACTACATACCAGTAACTGCAGTAAAATCTTTAGCAATAGTAAATGTGGTCTTCGGAGCTTGGTTGTAGTTGTTGACTATGTGATATTATTATTAAGCTATTTAGCAGGTGGAGCTTGTGCTGTTTCTGCCGATGACGCTGTTGGTCCTCTGGGAAACCGCCGAGCATCGCATCTTTATTCTTTGTTCCGGCAATCATCGCTGCTTTTCGATTCCATTAACAAGTTAACAACCAGCCTATCCACTTCACCCTCATTGGCAGGTCGTGACGCTGTATATTATTTAACTAATGAAATACATTCTAAATTTAGCCATTTTATGCTCTACATAGTACTGTACATACACCGGGCCATGTGGGACTCCCGTTGAAGCGATCTTTGATTATTCTGATATAAAATCAAGTTTGTAGTTCGGAGTATTGACGGACTCTCATTCTCAGAGTACAAGAGCAGATGTGTCTATCCTTCTCCTAGCTTGTTCTAGAAAAGGTCTGGAGTTCTATCGGATTCCCAGGTCGATACTACCATTCTTGGAGTGGGTGCTTGAAAAATGGCTTCAATGAGCCTGTTAGGTATTTCTTCAGGATTTCTTGATTAGGTCCGAATTTTAGGTGGGAAGCTCAAGCCAGCCCAAGTCAGTGACAAAGTATCGCTTGGACCGTTTGTGTCATGGCCCTCAAGGGGCCAGCGCGAAAAGGCGGGAGAGCGGGCGGAAGGGAGGCAAGGAGGCAAGGGAATAAACCTGCTTTTGAACTCCGTTTGGCTTGAGCACAGGATCGATCACTAAAAAATAACTCGATTGTTTGGACCCTGCCATGCCAGAAGCAATCGATGCTAACTTAACAGTGCTAGGGTTAGTTAAATAGCTAGCGAGCACGCTTGTTACAACCAGCCAGCTGACTGTTGCTCTGACCCGACCCGTGAGCAAAGAGCGTCAGTCAGGAGGGCGAACGATGGCAATTCGTATTAAATAACTATCCTTCCAAGTTAGGGCAATATTAACGAGGCCTCCTGCAAGCAGTCTTGCTCCTGTTTTGTAGAGATTGAATTGGCCCCATTATTCCATCGCAACATATGGGATGTTTGTGCAGTTTCTCTCACTTTCGAAAGCAACACATAAATAATTCGAACAAAGCAATGTTGCCGATATGTGCAACGGATCCCAGTCCAGAACAAGGTTGTGAAACGCGCCAGCGGGCTCGGAGAGAAGCCTTGTCTCCCCCGCCCTCCACAAGAGCTTTTAGGATTCCCCTCGAGAGGAAGTCTAGGGCCCGAGCACTTATCTAGTCTCGTTTGCAGCGTGAGACTCCAGCTCTCCAGCTTCTTCCAGGCTGCGCAACACGGCAACCGAAGCAGCGAAGTTTTCCATTTCCTTGGCGGGGGACGTTTTCAAAGATTTCGATCTCAGACAGCAGTGAGAGGGCGCATACGCGGCCGATGAGCAATAATGTTGTAGTTGTTGGTATTATTAGTTCCTGCATGCTTGGGTAAAGAGGTTGATGTAGATAGCATTGAACAGCGAATAATAAACCCGTTTGGCCGCGTGTAGTTACTGATTTAGATATCTTAAATCGACAAGCAATGCGTATCATTTTGGATTGATATCGAAGTCTACGCTACGTCTTCTGTCGTCTCCGCGATCATAAATCATAAATAATATAATAATAAATAAATATATAAATATATAAATATATAAATAATAATAATAATAATGTGCATAAAAAGATTACAAAGCAGCCGCAGTGCGGACCCTGAAAATGACTAAGCCCGCGCGAAGGGTCTTGGCACGCCGCCACTGCCCGCAAAAGAGGCTTACCTAAGCCTCCCGCGGGGGTTGGCGGCACTCGCTCCGGCACTAGCGCGTGCTAGGGAACATTTGGGGAACAAAAGTAAACCATCTTATTTATTGTATTTGTTCTTGAGTGCTTGTACTATCCCATCTCTCCCTAACGTAAAAAGACTCTATTGCATCTCATCTCTGCTCCCGATACAGAGCAGCGTTTGTTTTGCTCTTGATGTTGCTGCTTGCTCCCTCCCTCTCTCCCTAGCCAGCCTGCTCCCAACTGACAAGGCCCCCCACTCCCTGGTGTAAAATCCGCACCTCCCGCGTCTCCCGCAGCAGGGGCCTAGATCAGTCCAGCCAAGCGCCAGCAAGTCAACTCGAACCTCGAGGCCTGAAAACTCTCTCGCAACACTCTGGAGTTTGGCAGGCTGCAGGCTGGCATCGACGCTGTGGTGGATCCCGTGTCTGGAGATTCCAAATAATAAAATAATAGTCATAAAACCCCAGCTTCAGAACTCTCCCTCTTCCATTTCAACCTTCAAAGTGCACCACATAACACTACTTCTGGCGCCATGGCCGACGATGATATGGATGTAGACGTTCCTGATCAGCGAGGTACCAAACGGACTGCCGCTGATGCTGGGCTTCCCTCCCACCCATCCAGGAAAATTCAGGTATGTTTTGTATCTGAACGTGCAACCACCTACCCACGTGATATTAATTTACATCATTCTAGCTACTGGCCATATGTATATGTACTGACTGTGACCCCGAAAAAGGCCCTTGATCCAGATGTGGTCAACAAGATTGCTGCTGGGGAGATCATCGTGGCTCCGATGCATGCGCTGAAAGAACTGATTGAAAATTCAGTCGACGCGGGGGCCACCTCGGTGGAAATCCTGGTCAAAGACGGCGGTTTGAAACTCCTCCAGATCACGGATAATGGTCATGGAATCGATGTATGTCATTTTCACAAAATCACTATCTTGGTCTCTGTTTCGTGCGTGAACCTTCTTGTTTGAAAAATGATTGAACCTAACGAACTCCCTGCTTCTCCGCAGTGTGATGATTTGGGAATCCTGTGTGAGAGATTCACAACTTCCAAGCTCAAAGCGTTTGAAGACCTGTCGTCTATAGGCACCTATGGCTTCCGTGGCGAGGCTCTGGCGAGCATTAGCCACATAGCTCATCTCACGGTTACTACCAAGACCGCTGGCTCTAGCTGTGCCTGGAAAGCTCACTACAGCGACGGAAAATTAGTTCCCGCAAAACCAGGCCAAACCGCAGAACCCAAGCCAACCGCTGGCCGAGGCGGGACCCAGATCACCGTAAGTTTGATAGCTCAGTGTTTGCTTTTTCTTGAGTGCCTCTTAACTTACCCGCTATCTAGGTTGAGGATCTGTTTTACAACGTCCCTACACGGCGTCGAGCTTTTCGATCTTCAAGCGAGGAATACGCAAAAATCCTTGACGTCGTTGGTCGTTATGCCGTACATTGCTCTGGGGTTGCCTTCTCGTGTAAGAAGCATGGAGATTCTGGAGTCAGCATATCCACATCAATGAACTCCACCACAGTTGATCGAATTCGCCAAATCCACGGTAGTGCTGTTGCCAGCGAGCTTGTCAACTTCAGTGTCGAAGACCCAAGGCTCGGATTCCGTGCTTCAGGTTGGGCTAGCAACGCAAACTACCATGCCAAACGGACCACTATTCTCTTGTTCATTAACCACCGCTCCGTGGAATCTACTGCGGTACGACGGGCAATAGAGCAGGCATATTCCAACTTTCTGCCGAAGGGAGGTCACCCCTTTGCCTATCTCGATTTAGAAATAGAGCCGCAGCGAGTCGATGTGAATGTTCACCCAACGAAAAGGGAGGTTAATTTCCTCAATGAAGACGAGATCATTGCATCCATATGCACGGCGATCCAACAAAAGCTGGCAACAGTCGATTCTAGCCGAACTTTTATGGTACAAACGCTGCTACCAGCTGGACGAACTCGGAGTGATGCAATGAACCCCAACGCAGAGTCTCCATATAACGATAAACAACCAACACCCCGAACTTTATCTGGCACAAAACGTCCTTACGAAAACAATCTTGTTCGAACAGATGCGAGCATGCGCAAAATTACCTCCATGTTGCCACCCGCGACCTCATCACAAACAAGGCCGATTCTTAACGGCAATTCCCAACCCCAACCGCTTGAAGAAGACGGTCTCCGCTACGAAAGCACCGGTCGTGAACCCACTCGGATACGGCTCACGTCTGTGAAAAACCTTCGCGCGGCTGTACGATCTGCCATGCACAATAACCTTACAGAACTCTTCGCATCCCTAACCTACGTCGGGCTCGTGGACGAACGGCGTCGAATTGCAGCGATACAATCAGGCGTGAAGCTCTTCCTAGTCGACTACGGGATGATGAGCAATGAATTCTTCTACCAAATAGGCCTTACCGACTTTGGCAATTTCGGTAAAATAAACCTCGAATCCTCCCCACGGCTCGTCGACCTGCTCTCCCTCGCTGCCGCGACAGAGCGTGATGAATACCGTCGTCAGCACGTTGCCGCATCAACAGCCAGGGAGCAAACATCGGCCGACGCTGCATCACCAACAGTATCAGCGGAAATCGAAGCCGTCGACTTTGACAGAATAGTCAGCACAATAGCAACCCAACTCATCGAGCGCCGTGAAATGCTTGAAGAGTACTTTTCGCTCTCCATCTCTGAAGACGGCAACCTCCTCTCCATCCCCCTCCTGCTAAAGGGCTATATGCCATCTCTAGCCAAACTACCCCGCTTCCTCCTCCGCCTAGGCCCATATGTCGACTGGACAGACGAAGAAGCCTGTTTTCGCACGTTCCTCCGCGAACTCGCCGCCTTCTACACACCGGAACAATTACCCATTGCCCCACTTGCTGTCCCCAGCAGTAACGACAACAACAACAGCAGCAGCAACATGAACAATTCCGCATCCACTTCCATAACAAGACCCATCCCACACAACGGTGAGACAGAAACAGCGACGGGAAAGACAACAATAAACACCTCCCAAAGTACACCACCGCCCAGCGATCCCCACGACACCGCTCCCACGACCAGCAGCGACACCGCAACACGAACAAATACCACTACCGACGATGCCACCGACGTCCACACTACCAACAACCAAAAAGACCCCCCCAAACACCCACACTCCCAACGTGAAGACGAATCAATCGTCCGGCGCCGTGCACAACTCTCCTGGACTCTGGAGCATGTGCTCTTCCCTTCTCTGCGCGCGCGGCTTGTCGCGACGAATGATCTCGTCAGGGGCGTGGTGGAGGTGGCGGATCTGAAGGGGTTGTATCGGGTTTTTGAACGGTGTTGATTGTGGCGGTGGTGGCGGTGATGGTGGTGAGATGATTACACTCCCCCCAATACCCGCGAGGATATATATAATGCATATATAAAACAAAACTATGCATTTACTTATACGAGAGAAGCAAAGAGTTCTTCTCCTTTCTTCTTGCCTTTCTACCTACTCTCTTTCCCCCTTCTTCCATATTCTACATTTAAACCCTCTGAACACTTTTTTTTTGTCTTTTATTTTTCTTTATTTTTCTTTATTTTATTTTTTATTTTTATTTTTATTTATTTTCTTCTTTTTTTCTTCCTTTAAATCCTGTATGTTGTAACTAGAAGTAGCTAATCTATTTACCATCACTGCTAACTAGTAGTTGCTAATAATACCGTTATCCTTCAGCTGTTGAACTTGTATTATATCTTCTTAAGCTGCATACGTGGGATGGATCCCACCCCACGTACGTTCTAGATTCCACGAAAAAAAGAAAAAGAAAAAAAAGAAAAAGAAAAAAAAGAAAAAGAAAAAAAAGAAAAAGAAAAAAAGAAAGAAAAAAAGAAAGAAAAAGGCGAAAGGTAGTTAAGCAATATGTCTGATCTAGCCGCTCTGAGTTATGTCTCCGTGTCATGTCAAAACCTGCTTCATCTACAGATTTAACTCTTTCGGTTTTTCGCATCTTATATACCCTCATGGCACGAAAGATTTTTTTTCATCAACCAGCACCAGCGATTAAATTCTTACAATAGTTGAATCGGTATGGTATGCTCCTGATCTCACCTACGGAGTTACTTCAAGCCAAATTAGGTTAGTTACGAAAAACATGAAGACAAGAAAAAATATATAAGAAATAAATCTTCAATTTGTGTATTTTTCAATCGGTTAATCAATCAATCTTAACTAATCCCAATCTCAACTTTATCAGTTTATAAAGTTACTTTAGCCTTACAAGGAAGAAAGAAGTGAAAAAAAGAAGAACAAAGAAATTACTACCCATCAAAACAAAAAAAGGAAAGAGGACAAATTAAAAAAAAGTAAGAGAAATAAAATGAAAACCATAATCTCAATCTTCAGAAATAGGAAAGGTTTTTCAGATCAAACTTAAAAAAAAAAAAAAAAAAAAAAAAAAAAAATAGGTAAAATGGATTTTAGGACACCGGACCCTAAACTTTCACCAGGTCCCGCGCCAACGCCGCAACTTTTCTGGTAGAAAAGCAAAAGGGATACAAGCAACAAAACAAGCAAAAAAAAACTAGAAGGGATTAATTTGCATCCCCCATCAGCATGACTGTCGCTCATGCATATTCGGCGTTCGGCGTGGTCATGGGCAGGTTTTATAAAAGGTGAAATTAGAAAAGGTGTCGGAGAAAGCGGATGAATGGGAAACAAGAGAGAAAAGCGGAAAGTCTGTGAGAATAGAAGATGGAATTTGAAGGAAATAAATAAATAAAAGATCATCGTATCAAGTAAGATGTTGTAGAGCTAGAAGACATAGTAGCATAGAGGAGGAGAGTTAAAAGAGATATAAAGGAAAAGGAAAAGAACAGAAATATATGAAGTTAAGATAAAATAGAGAAAAAAACTAAATAAAAACTAAATAATTGAAGAAGAGTAAATTGGGATTGGTACAAACCAAACCATCATTAGGAATGAGAAAGTCCTTCCTCAGCAAGAAGAAAAAAAAGAGAAGAAGGGTAGGAAATTAAAAAACCAGATAAACCCTGAAGGGAAAATGAAAAACATGAAAATGGTGCGCGAGAGGGAAATAAAGCAAGCAAAAGCAAATTCATCATCGAGGTCGCTAAGTGGTATTCGTGTCACATCGCATGGTAAGTAGAAATATCATGAGAAAAAGGGTAAGTTAGAGCACGAGTCGTAAAAAGGAAAAGTAAGGGGTGGCCCGTGGGCAGTTTTTAAATGTGGTTTCTCGATCAGATCGTTAAAATAAAAGTGATACGACAAAAACTCCTTCATGTATAGATCCGTGCGTACGTGTATCATGAATCAGTGAGGGAAATTCAATGTCATATCGACAAATGGATAGAACTTGTTCGGGCGCTGCGGTTATTCGAAATTTATTATTGTTGTTTCGAATATGGTTTGTTCATGAGAGCTATTTCGCGCGCGATGGTTACCCAGTCAAGATCTCTGCGGATTGGCTCGTGGCGTTTCTGCCGGAGGAGTTCGTCCCATTTGAGGAGCTCGTAGCTAGAGGGAGAGTAATATTAGTATTATAAGTTTAGTAGAGTGGTTGAATGGTGGCGGATTAATGGATGGGAGGGTGGAAATGTAGTACTAACACAAATCGGAGGTGCGGTTGGATGATGACGTTCAAACGCCTAGCACGAACGAAGCAGCTATTTTCGGAGAGTTAGTTGAGATCTATCCGCCGCAGAGTTACTCTACTGGGAAGAAGGCAGGTGGTGGTTACATACTATGCCCTAGGAAACGATAACCCCTCACACGCCATCACCTCAGCAATGCAGATGGTGGCAGATCTAGACACGCCAACGCGACAATGCACCAAAGTCGCCGTACAGTCCTTTTTCCCTTTCTCTAAATAAATTCACAAAATGTATTAGCGGCACAAATGTGCAGAAATAAAAAGGGGTCAGGGGAGGGAAGACAAATGAAATCCCGTAATCTTTCTATCAGCATCGACTCAACTCACCAATAAACTTTAGACAACGGTCAAATTGCTGTGTCAACGGATCTATGCCATTATCTTGTACTTCGTTTATCATCATCAAACTTTCCGGCCCCCATTTCTCGATCTCTGACGGCGGCCATGAGACGGATTCTCCAATGCTAAGTATCCGTCTAATGCCCAAGGCGCGGAGGAGCTCTGGGTTGTTAGCATGCGTTAAATTTCCCAGATACATGTACGGTAGAATGCGACTGGGTAATGACCCATCCATTCGTGAGAGCCAAGCTGGTTCGAGGCTGTTTGTGATGCTGCGATTACGGGCGGCGGGGCTTTCAAGCAATAGCCTTTGTTGAATGCTAGTTAGGAATGTGACGTCTGAGGGATAGGCAAAGAAATTCCGCTGCTTCTCGCAGTGCAGTCTTAACCACGCCTCATGCACAGGGGCTCCCTCAGCAAACATGAAGTAGGCAATAGCTAGTAGCGAGCTTTCGGTGTACCCGTCTCCGCAGTGGATTAGAACCTTGCGAGGTTTTGCAGTGAGCTCCACCATTGGAATATCGCCGTCTGAATCAATTGGTTGTTCAAGCCGCTCAGGGTGGGTAATATGATATATCCATCTACAAGTATCAATGAGGTCGAAAACCTCTATCTGGTTGAATGAGGCTAGAACGCTCCCCGACGACGGGAATTCCAATCTCTGTGGTCCATCATCCATTTGTCTTGATATTTTTGAGAGATATCGAATATTAGGAATATTTGCAACATCGTGAGTTTCGATGAAAACATCAAATCCTAGGTCTTCAAAGGGGCGTTCGTTGATATCTGGTGTAGGGCCCTGCCAAACGTTTGTTGTTATCTCCGAGGCTTCGGCCATTTTACACATTTCCAACCGTTCCCAATGAACTAATCTACATGTTAGCAAAATCTAAGCTGCCTTTGGCAGGAAAAATATGAATTCCAGTGCTTACAGAAATCCATGACTCGGCCAGTAAGTTGCCCTTGGCAGTTTACAGCAATCAATTCAGGGTGTCTCTCCTCTACCTCATTGAAAGAACCTACAATTCCTATTAATATTCCGCACACCTTTTCTTTTCTTTTCACTTTTTTTACAAAAAGTGGAGATGAGGACGGAAAAGATGAACTCACTCTGGAGAATAAACGTATTAAACAAGGAATTCTCCTGTCCCGGATCAAATCTTCTTCTCCATTCCTTCTGTGCTCTAGCAATTCCGTCAGCAAGCTCGAGAAGATCGCTCCCATTGGCACCATCTTCACCATATACAATGATATCCGATAATGGCGCTAATTTCGCCGTTTGTATATGGAAATTGCGCACGGAAAAGCCTTCTGGGGGATCCGCATCAATGAACGTAGTGCCAGACTGGGAGAGGATCTCTTCTGGTGCAATAGCCCCCTTAATCCTTGACCTAGACAGATCCCCGCCAGCTTTAACAATTGCTATGGATCGCAAACATCGCGGTATGCGTCTAAGTGACCTCCTTCTTGAAACAAAGAAGCCTAGCTGGATATGATTGTCCGGATGCAGGCCGTGTAGCCAGGGAAAGACTTGTTTGGGGTCTGGCAGAGGGCGAGAGGCCAGCTCATCTAATGCATGGGCCAATGTATCTGCATCTATCGAATATACTGGAGGATTGTCGCACAGCTTGGGGAAATGATTTGGGGGGTATAGGACACAATTGCCTTGGAGGGGAGTGGAATGTTTGAGGGTTGGCGAGGCTGGTGGGGTTGTGGGTATCTTTGAGCTAGCCGGAGCGGGCCCTGGAGGGCAGACGGGGAGATGTTTGTTGGGGACTGGGGCTTGACTATGGGTAGAGTTGGCACTGAGGCTCAGAGCTGAGGTGATCGGGGGTGGAGATGAGGAATGTCGCACTGGCTGCTGTTGTACAACGACTGTAGCCATCATGGCGCGGGAACTTTAGAAGAGGGGGATTCTGTTCGTTGTCGTAGTGGTAATTGTTGTCGTCGATTGACGGAGGAGTGGTATTCGGGCGGTCTGAAATTTGTCCGTGTCGACAGAGGGAGTGGGCGAAGTGCGCGATATGACGATTACATCGTCTGCAAACTTGCCCTCGATATGATAGTTTCCTCTTTTGAACGCACCGTATGTAGTAAACTAGGGAGAAACCAAGACGCGACGGGGCGATTCCTTTTCCTTATCCAACGAGCGAGAAATAAGGGTTAGGAGATTTGAAGCTAGAACGAGTTCATATGTAGATCCGTCTGTTCCTGTAATATATGTGTGTAGTTAGAAGTGCGATGTTCGGTATTGCCGGATGAGATTGAGATAGAAAGAAATCCCCACTGACAAAGTAGCCAGAGAGGCGTACCAAGCACTATTACAATTGCCAAGTTGAATTGGACCTGAAGAAGACAAGGCAGGGGATTAAGGTAAAGAGGGCATTCAGCAATCTGAAAGTTATCTGTACAGCCCAAGGACGAAGAGTTCCAACGAGGTGGCAGACCAACAATACCAGATAAGATAGATAGGTAGATAGATAGATAGATAGATAGCTAGATAGATAGATGCCTTAGGAGGAGGATGGCGAAGAGAGTGAGAATGGAGAAGTAGGGAGAGGCGTAAGACACAAACAGATCAGACAGGGATAGATGACGTCGAACATAGGAGAGAGGCGGCGGGGCGACGATGGGGGGATGGGCGGGATGAAGAGAAGCGGAGCATGAAAGGAGAGGAGGAGAGGAGACGAGAAGGAGACGAGAAGGAGGTTGATAGAAAACTGGGGCCGTGGAGGTGGGAGATGGCGCTGGGTTACCGAGTCCGTACCAGAGTTACACGCCCAGCACTCCCCATAAACCACCGCTTTGTATACCTTCTCATACCATAAATACAATACCAGAACCCTCATTGATCTTCCCACCCCGCGTCCGGGGGATCTGCCCCCCCATCGATCCCCGCCGCCCAAGGACCGTGACGGGGCCCTGTTTGCGCCCTTGTTTGGGCCTTGCTTGGGCCTTGAACTCTTGGAGGCCTTGGGCCACTCCCCGGCACCAACGCCATCAAGTTAGTGGCCTTTTAGTGGCCCGTCGCCAATCAGTGGCAATCAACTCCCCGGAGTCCCCACGGCCAGAGCCGAGACCCAAGCTAACTATTAATGAACAGCGAACCTTTGCAGGCTTTTGCACCCGCAGACAACCAATCGAACAACCAAACGATCTTGGGTCTTATCACCACCGGCGGCCCCCCCGGCAATTGGCCAATCCAACGGCCCTAATGGGGGCTAAACAGTCGAACCCCAAGCTTGGAAAACCCACGTCCCCAGAGGAGGTTTTCTTATTCGTTGTTGTTTTTCCTGATTTGGTAGAAATCTGCTGCTTCCGCGAGTTTACCCACCCGTTGACAGCAGTCACTCATCACAGTGATGACAGCCTTTACAGGGAGGAGCCAAAGGGTGTGGTGGGTGGGGTGAGGGAATCAACCTGAGTTTTGAGGGTTCAAGATGTTCGTTCGCTCTGCATCCTAGCGTCAGCCATCGATGGGTTGGGGGAACTTGGGGATGCACCAGTGAAGTTGTCAGCCAGCCCTCCCTGTATGCAACATAGTGTCAAACCTGGTTGTGCTGGATGCCAGTAGGTATGTACTGTACATACATGTAGGAACAAGGGTGAACTGCTGCTCTGATGCCTTCGTTTTTCAGAGTCCAATGAATGTGCGATGTGCTTGAGCACTTCGATATTTAGAAAATCCCGTATAGGTATAGATATATTCACCATGATGTGCGTAGTGCTTTTCAGGCAGTTAGTTAATAGTTAATCTGAACTTTTGTCTCACCTTGCTCTTATATATTCTAATTCTAATTCTATTGAACTATATCCATGTGTTTTCAGGACATACAGTCTGCCCTCCCGATTAAATATATATAAATATATATATATATATCATATCCAACCTGAGTATCACCATCTTGGGTTATACACCACGAGCTGGCGCTGGCTACCCATGAGAATATGTATTCAGAGCAGGCTGGCAGCCCATCAAGATGAGCGTGCAAGACATACCCACTGCTAATCTTCCCCCGCCTCACCATATCCCAAGTCTGCTTATCCGGAATGCCATACACCCCCGCATGATACCGCTCGTCAAGAACAATATCCTCCTCGGTAATCTGTTCAGCACCCAACCCAATCTTCTCAGCCGTATCCTTCGCAATGCGCAGAACCTGCGCGCGCGTCTCCGCCGGCTTCGCTGAAGCGTCGATGCCAACCACCTTCCTCCTCTTCCCGCCATGCGCGCCCTTCTTCGCCTCCTCCTCCGGATACAGCTTCTCAATCAACTTAAACCCGGCAACCATCCCCGCCACCGTCGACCCCGTCACCGCACACACAATAACGGTCTCTACACTCCTCCACCAACCCCATCGCGGTGGACTTATGCTTGATGCCGAAACCGGACTTGTTAAGACGCACATCCGGCCCCCATCAGCCTTGAGAGCCGGATGTTGCCCACCGTCTCATAGCCCGGGTACTCCCAGTCGACCCAGTGCTCCGGGTGCGTAGACCCACGTGCGCAGCTGCCGCGGCTACCTGCCGGGTATGGTTGCTTTGGACCGCCGATGCTGACGAGGGTATCGCAGCGCTGGTCGACGGCGTCGGCGACGAGATATTCAAGTTTACGGGTTTTGTTGCCGCCGTAGGCGAGGGCGGAGTTGAGATCCTCTCGCTTTGCGTAGATTTAGATTGATACTTTGTTGTTGTTGTTGGTAGTGATGCGGGGTTGGCGGGGTATAGAGGCGAATTTGTCTGGGAGGGACATTTTTGTTGCTTGCCACTTCCTTCTGTTCGTTTTAATTGATGATGGGTATATTGCTGAGTTTTGGCATCTGAGGTTTGCTTCACTGTATCCATGTACACGTGCATGTATAGTACATTACAATTTGTATAGAGGGATAGCGGGGGATAGGACAGTATAGATTATTAGCTAGTTGCTTGATAACCCCCTCTCACGCTCTGGCTCTGGTCCAACCAGTTAACCCCCTGAAGAGAATGGATACTCTAGAGCCTGGCCAAATAGGGTTGCCGAGGGTGGGTTGTATAGGCACTCATTGTCGGTAGATAGTAGATCTTCCGCCCCTCAATATAGGCACGGCATTGCCGGTACGATGTACTATGTACGGAGTACATGTACCCGGAGATCATTTCTTGCCAGCTCGAGCTTCTCGAGCTCATCTGGGCTTGTTGAGCCAAAGCACGGGACACTCAGGTTTCATGTTGCAGAAGTCAAAAGAGAGGGCTGTTTCGAAAGTTCTTCGTGTGCATCAGAATGCGAGCCGCTGACATTAAAAGTTGCACTTTATACGACAGAACGTCAGGGGGGTTGGCACCATCAAAAGACCACATTGCCGCTGCGCCCCTCCCCGCCTAGCAACACATTTCCCAAACCACATTGAAAGGGACCCCTTTGGACCTTTTCAAATGTTACGCATCCATCAATATATGGAAGAAGGCCTGAGGGCTATGTATCTGCATAGGTGGTTTCCTTCACCTTCCCTTTCCTTCCTGAGTTAAAATCTCGCGATCGTTGGTGGTGCGGGACGGGCTGGTGCAGCTCCAAGAACAGAATGCCAGCCATGCTTCTGAATACGAATCAAGTTGGCAAAGTGGAGGCCTAAATGGCAGCACTCTGCATTCCCAAGGGACGGTCGTTTTCGCCCCTTGTGGCCTCATTTCTGGAAAATGACTCTGGCCTGAAGAAATACGGCTCCTACCACCCTGCGGTTGTTGTTATCTCCCAGGACACATCCATGCTATACGAGCCAATCAAAAAGGGGGCTGTGAAGGTGCATGGCTATTGAACCATCTCCTGACGCTTCGGCACCATTTTGCCTCGTGTCATTCCCGCGTCGACATTGAGCTTCCAGGATGTGATGTTCGTGTTGTTGATAGTGGTATGCATGAGGCAGGTCCACTTCGCTTCTCATAGCTGAGCCATTGAGTAGCCCTCAGCACTGCAATTTAGGAGAGAAGACGGGGAAGAGAAAAGGTATATAATCGGCCATGATGCCCGCATATTTGGGCACTGGCTTCCAGTTCAGAAGGTTGAAATCGACACCCACCCATATATTACATTTTTTACGTTAAGGCCGAAGGGGGAAAGCCAGACCGCACCTAGTATATAAACCCTTCCTCTCGTTCCTATTATAAAGTCCTTAGCTAACCTTCTTGGAGAAGGTCGAAAAAAACAAGAACCGGAGCCATCTATACACACATATTCCAGCAAGAAAAATGAAGATTTCCGTCATCGCAACCGGGCTTTTGCTCGCCATCGCATCCACCACCGATGCCTGGAGCATCCAGCTCAAATCCAGCAGCGGCAAAAAACTCAAAATGCACGGCAGGGACTTCACGAACGGGAAGTGCATTAACCTGAACAAGGCCTTCTCCGCCAAAAGCGTCAGCTTCAATCCTGCGACGAAATGGCTTCCAGATCCCAAAAATGTATATTTCTACAGTGGGAAAGGCTGTGAATACAACAACGGCAAGCTTTCAAACAAGCTGAGGAAGTGGACTTGGAAGAAATCTAGAACCATCCGCGCCTACCAGCTCACCAAGGGATCGAGGAGACGAGACATCGACGGGGAGGATGTGGACGGTGACGATGTCGAGGATTACGTTAACGACGATTTTGACGACGGAGATCAAGCTGTTGATTTGCACGGTGGGGATGGTGGGGATGATGGGGACGACGGGGATGACGGGGATGACGGGAGTGAAGGGGACGATGGGGATGATGACGACGACGACGATGATGATGGAGATGATGGAGAAGACGGTTTGGATGGTGGCATGGGATAAGCACCGCCGCTATGAACCCTTTCACCTTCTGTTGTATACTTCCTGTTCCTCTGTTTGACATATATGTTGTGAAGAGAGAGAGTTTTAAGAATGTAAATAAGACCTTCCAATTTTTAAGATTCTTTATCAACGGTGTCTCTTAGATTTACCATATCTTCATAGTATCAATGTTGAGGTACTTAGCTCTCAAAAACTATGCCACGCTCTGAAATCTGTTCTGAAAACCTGAAAACAATGGGCTAACCAGGGGACTATGAACCACTCCGTTGCATCTGAACGATGTACAGCTTTTTCCTACTCTCGTATATTCTGTGCTGGATAAGAAATTCTCATACTTGGAACACTCCAAAATGCCATTCCACACCCGACGGAACGTGGTGGGTGACTGACGATCGACGATATCGCGTTGTGGGGAGATCAGGGGTTTTTATACGATCTACACAGCAGCCCGAGAAGCCCATCTTAGGTATCGCCAGAACTTGTTCAGAGTGTCAGTAGTAGTTCACCGTAGCATGCCTACATTGCCGCTGAAGATAGGCTGTAGCGAAGACAAGTGCTCCCCTGAATAGTTAATACCTAATCGCGGATGGGTATGGTGAGGGATTCATACATGGAGCAATCGTTTGGAACTCCAAGCTTGGCACGGTGGAGATCACATGACAAACACGCCAAGAAAATGGAGCTCGAAGCTTCCCTTCCGGCGCGTGGATCGATCTAGACATGGAGATGACCACGAAGCCCTTTATTATACCCGGTCCACTACGCTGCGTATTGGGATGAAATTGAAGGATACTCATTTTAATGATAATCACTGATTAGATTACTTTCTCAGAAGGTTTGCAAGCGCAGCAAACATGTCGTCCCTCTTTCAAAAAGACTCTGAGAGGAACCAAGACGACAAGAGGAATGGCGGCGATGAGGTGGAGGAGGATGACTACATGTCTATGACCATTGTTGAGCCTCCTAAACCTCATAGGCGCAAGGAAACATACAGTGAAATGCGGCGCCGGAAACAGAGAGAGGTTCGTTAAACCCTATCAGTGTTTTGAAATACCCTTTATTGTTATTCGCCCTTGCTCATTACATCGGTATTTTTGGCCATAGCGAACAACACTACCTTGGCTTCCGTATACGCGTCTTGAATGAATTACTGACAGCGTAACCGCGCCTAATCCGCAGGCTGAAGCCAAATCTCGCGTCCCTTCAAAAGCGGAGATTGCTGCAGCAGAAGCTGCTCGAAGGGAAGCCGCGCTGTCTACCAGCTCGCTTGACCCTTCGAATAAAGGTTTCCAGATGATGGCGAAACTAGGGTTTAAACCTGGGACTGCACTTGGAAAGGACCGTTCCCCCGAATACCCATCCGGTATTGATGAGTGGAATCGGCCGCTGACAGAGCCGCTGAATGTGGTGGTTAAGGAGGACCGAGGAGGCATAGGAATGGATAGTGAGAAAAAAAGAAAGATAAGGGAGCAGGCCGAACTAGACACGAAAAGAGCCAAAGTTGAGGAAGGTGATTTTAGAGAGCGGGTCAGGCGTGAACGAGAAGAAAAGAGGACCGAGGCCATGTTCAGCGCCGCGCAAAAAGTCGCCGAAAGATTAGATGCTGAGGAATCTGAACAAGAAGAGGAGAAGCAAGTGGATGGGCAAGATCAAAGAGAGGATTCGCCCAAGGAGTTTGTGCAAAAAGAGGCCAAATTGAATTCTACTCCACTACATCCATCTGCTGCTTCAAGCAGTTCTAGGCGCCAAACAAAACCAACGTCGCAAATCAACATACTCTACCGCGGCTTAGTCCGCGCCCGCGAAGAGAACTTGCGTAACCAGCAAGCTCGCCGTGGACTTTACCAATCGCTCTCTACTAGAAACCCAGCGCTCATACCAAACCTGGAAAATCTTCCAACATATAGCGAGTCCGATTTGGATGCAGATGATAGGCTTGCCCTGGGCCGAACAGCAGAAGGCGAAATTGTTGAGGTTGAATCAGACGAGGATGAAGATGAGGAGCTGAATGAGTTCAACGCACTAAGTCCCCAGGAACGGCTATCCAGATTGGTGGTGTACCTGCGCGAGAAGTATCGGTACTGCTTCTGGTGCAAGTATCGCTACGAGACTGATGAAATGGAAGGCTGCCCTGGTTTAACAGAAGATGATCATGATTGAGTAAACATTCCTGGCTATATCTTGTATTCGATACATGATACCACTATATGCGTTCTTCGTCATGCTTCTTCGGTCGCGAAGTTGCATTCAACAGATGCTAGCGCATCTACTGCCGTTCTATGTTCGCAGCGTCTAAGAGGGATGCGACCAAGAAGAGAACGCATTGATATCTCTTTCCTTCCCACTGCCCTTGGACGGCTTATATTGTGCGCATGCTCTTTACGGTCATCCTCAATTGATCTCTATCATTCTCTCTCCCCTATACGAAGTGCAGAACTACCAGACTTTTTGAACCAGTTCTGTGACTTGTTACATACGAGGTAATAATCAGACTGGGAGCGTTATGCACTTAATGGGACACCAGAAAGTTTTTAAGACAAAACGGGAGACATCCTTGCCACGAGCTTCGAGTTCTACAACCGTCAAGAAACGTTTGTTATTAAATGGAGGGGTTAGATAAGCGACTGCAAAACCTGCAGTGAAAGTAACCGCTCGGATACAGCCCAGACATGACACGATCACACCCTCACGGATTCCTTTTAGTTTCATCTGGCACACATCGATCTTCAGAGCGTTCATGGCTCTTTTCACGCGCAACGCGAATTTCCTGCCTCATAACGAATCTCGCCGATCAGTCTAGCCATATTTCTTCCCCCGTCGATCATTCAATCGTACCACAGCATTTACTGTCTACTCCGTTAAGCTTTGGCTCACTTTGATTGGTTGCTCGCCTCAATTGGTCCTCGCTTAACATATTGGCTGGTACGGAACGCCTAGATTGGCAGATACTATTACGCGAGGAATGATAGGAATGCTCGGGCAGGAAGCGCTGGAAGAACTTTAGGAGCTGAGCATCGCAAAGTAACGTGCTTGCGAATGAAAGAAATGGCCGAAGAGTCTCGAAATCTAGAAACAAAACTAGCATAGGAATATATGGGAGAAAGATCTATAGGTTCTGTTTCTGCCTCCCTTTGTGCTTGCGCACACTGATTGTAAACGGGACGGGTGCAACAGGTCACAGTATCCATCGACCTTCCACTGTCCCACTGGTTCGTTCCAAGACAGGACAGGAGGAGACGGCCCTGGAGGGGCGCGAAGAGCGGAGATATCTCTCCGCATGAAGAATAGGGCAGGGGCTAGAGGTTTCAATGTTGCCCTTGTGTACATGTACGTGTTTCTCGATCTCGAATTTGTCCATGTATGTCATGTACATGTACATACATTACATGGACTTCAGATAACTGGCGCTGTTCCTAGTCGCTTGAAATCAGTTAGTGCCGAGGAACCCTCTACTGCATTGGAATGTTATACGCAGAAAGGTTTTGGAGGGAGAAACCTACCACCATTCGCACCGACGCTCCCAGCTTCGTTGCCAGATGGCATGATTGATCATTATCATTTCCCCCCGCTTTGTCCTAGGGTTTTGAGTATCAAGAGACAAAGGTCGTTGTCCCACGTCTGTTGCAAATAGAGTCTGAAGATTGAACACTATATGCATTTAGTGTTGCATGCACAGTCAAGATACAAGACATAAATGAGGGGATGGACAGGTTCCCCCTCTTATGGGTAATTGAATTTCTATATCATTGCACCCCATACCTCCTCAGTACTCCAGTATAGTCCACGCTTGTTGAGAAGACTGCAAGAACGGAGCTGCTATGGACTGGAAACTTATATGCGAGCGGCGACTGCCTATGTAGTTAAGGTCGGGAACGCAAGAAAGGCATGTTAATACTAAGCAAAAAAGTATAAACGAATGGAAGGGGGTATAAGTGGGTACATTTGTAAACAAGTGTCCAAGGGTACGTAATGGGCATGGGTCGGATACGAAAGTGTGAAGGACCAGCGCAAAAGAAAATCCCCCAGAATAAAGAGAAAATAAACGAAATAAGGCAGTAGTAGTATTATATAACTTTTGAGAACAGTGGCAAATGGACGTGCGCAGGGTTCCATGCTCACGCCATGCGTCTCTTTTGACAAGATCAACCGGATCACCAAAACGCCAACAAACGCCCCCCTAAAAGATAATAAGAATCCGAGCAAATTCAAATGGGGTTGGAGCAGTGACAGCAAATATGGCCGTTGCTGTCGCATATGCCATCATCATTTGTGTTTTGGCCTGGGTTCAGCCAACAAATTGTCCCTGCCCTGACCCCCGCTTCTGAATTGCTTTCTACCTCCCTTTCTTTCCACCCCCTAACGAATTAATTGGGTAGTAATCAGTCCTCATAAGTGGGAAGACAAATAGAAGGAAGATACGTAAATTGGGATTAAAACAAGAATCCAACAGAAAAATAAAGAAGCAAAACGGGAGAAAACCCACAAGAATATGCGGAATTGCTTCAGGCACTCTCTACACTCTCCAGCGCCGCCACGAGGCGTTCCATAAGTTCTTTCAGCGAACGCCTCTTGCACTTCTGCATCGTCTGCATGCAATCTCCACAGATCCGCAGACAGCAGAAAGTACATCGCCAGCGGATCAACTGGTCGTCATTTAGACATGTCATGCATGGAACGGGGTATATGATATTATTTGATGGCGATAAATAGCGGTGGGATTGGTAGCAGGAGAAGTGTATTTTCGTAAGGGGCGGAATGAGGTTTTTCTTCAACCGAGGCTGCTTCCGAGGGGCTTCTTTGTCGTCTTTGGGGGTTGAATCCGGCGTGATTATTTTTACGGTAGGTGTGTCGCATTGGCTTTCGCTTTTGACTGTGGGTTCTGTAACCTGGGTGCTGGTGCTGCTATTGCTACTGCTATTGATGCTGGTGGCGCTGGCACTGCTGCTGGCATCACTTGCAACTCGCACCGGGGGAGAGGGTTTATTGAAGCCGTTCATCTC